AGCTGAGGAAACAGAGAATGAGCGCGCCTTGAATCACTGCGGGAAGAAGAGTGACAAGCGAGGGAAGAAAAGCAAATGAAGAAGAGGAAGCACAGAAAACGCCTCAATTGCCTGATTTAAATAAAATCCCTACATCTGTTTGCTGTGTAAAACTTATGCAGAAATTACTTGCATAATCTCCCGGCCGGACAATTGTGCTGACAGCTGGGTCTGGTTTTTTATTTTGTGCTCCCCTCTCCTTGCTAATAATTTGTACTTGTTGCTTTAGGACGATCTGACAGAAGATATGAATTTGGCTTTCTCTTCCGTTGGCAAAAGCCACTCGCAGCGTACAGTCACAGCACTATAAGACTGGTAGCAAGTGTTATGTTGCGCGTACTGTATCGCCTGAGGCATGTCACAATATGAAAGCAATGCTGACGTTGAATTAGAGCCGCAGAGTGCCAGGGGTGACAGGGGTTGATCTGGGCGGCGGCGGGGATCCCTGGAGCCAAGTGGCGCCTGCAGGCCCCACAGAGCTCCAGCAGCATTGGAATCCGCTCCCCAAAGTTGCGCCCTCCGATAGCGGGGTCATTTTTTGATATGGTCGTGGTGTGACTGTGACAGCCCAGAAGTGGATTGGAAGATCTCAACGGTGACTACATCTGAAATCACAGACTTGCTCACCTTGCAACCTTCCCAAAACAAGCCAATTGTTCAATTGAGACCTCGTTGCCCTCTTGGATCCAGCGTCTTCTGCGACCTTGAGTGCTTGCATTGATCATGGCTACAGAATACCCGGAGAAGAAGTGCGGTTCGTCCCTCTCGACCAATCTCGAGTCACCCTCGACCCAGTCCTCAGAGAAGATTACCCAGCTGACACGCCACTGGCACCAGGTGTTCTGGGCGCAACTGGCTCGGTCGGCCAGCGCTTCATCCTCCTCCTGCAGAACCACCCCTTCCTCAAGCTTGTCGCCGTCGGCGCATCCCCGCAGTCCGCGGGCAAGAAGTATCGCGATGCCGTCAAGTGGAAGCAGTCCACACCCATGGGTGATGTGGGCGACCTAGTCGTCAAGGAGTGCAAGTCAAGCGAGTTCAAGGACTGTGACATCGTCTTCAGTGGCCTGGACTCCAACATTGCAGGAGAAGTCGGTACGCAGTGCTCGCCCGCCCCTCCACGAACAGCAATCCCACAGTCCACCTGAAGCAGTTGCTGATCCAAGCCGGGCGCAACCGAAAAACAGAGATGGACTTCCTCAAGGCCAACCTCGCCGTCTTCTCCAATGCAAAGAACTACCGCCGCGACCCCCTTGTGCCCCTCGTGGTCCCCACCGTCAACCTGTCGCATCTCTCCCTGATCCCCCACCAGCGCAAGCACCACAACCTCGAGAAGGGCTTCCTCGTCTGCAACAGCAACTGTGCCGTCATCGGTCTAGTCATCCCCTTCGCCGCCATGCAGGCTCGCTTCGGCCCGATCGAGACCGTCTCCGTCGTCACCATGCAGGCCGTCAGCGGCGCCGGCTACCCGGGCGTGAGCTCCATGGACGTCATCGATAATGTGGTGCCCTTCATCTCGGGCGAGGAGGACAAGCTCGAGACGGAGGCGCAGAAGATCCTGGGTGGCATCAACGCCGAGGCCACCGCCTTCGAGGAGCTCAAGAGCCTCAAGGTGTCCGCCACCTGCAACCGGGTGCCCGTCCTGGATGGCCACACCGCATGCGTGTCGCTGCGCTTCGCCAAGAGGCCGCCGCCAAGCGCGGAGCAGGTCCGCGAGGCGCTGAGCGGCTACGTGAGTGACGTCGAGAAGCTCGGGTGCCCTTCGGCACCCAAGCCGAGCATCAAGGTGTTTGGCGATGATCAGCCGGATCGGCCGCAGCCGAGACTGGACCGTGAGCTGTCCAGGGGTTACACTGTCAGTGTGGGCCGCGTGAGAGAGGACGAGAGCGGAATCTTTGATCTCAAATTTACTGCATTGAGTCATAACAGTGAGTTCATGCCAACTGGCCCCTTATTTACGCTTGCTTGTTAGCGGTCAGTACTGACATGACCCCGTAGCTGTCATCGGAGCTGCTGGCTCCTCGATATTGAATGCCGAGGCTGCCGTGCTGAAGGGCTATATCTAAGCATATATGGAGCAAATGGGAAGCAATGATAAGTAAGAAGGGACAAGGATAGACAAAATAAAAGTGCAAATCTCTCTCCGTACTGCCACAGAAAGCAACTACGGAATATCTACAGCTACCTGCGCTTTGCAACAACCCATTGCAGACGTCGATACCCTGTCAAACCGGGCCCATGAATCATAATTCAGAAATACTCTGTCCGTGGCTGATTTGGAAGTGTGGAATTAACAATTACACTGCCTAGACGGCAATGTAGCCGTGTCACGGAATTGCACCACCGGGACTTTGGGTAGTCACATCGTCTAGACGATATTAATTATATCATGGAAGGGTCGCGTCGAGCGCAGCTTACTGCCGTCGGCACAACAGAGACGCCAATGATGAGATCTTTGAGAATAGATGAGGCGCGGACAGGTTTGGTGGCAGAGCCGAATTTCGTCACAGATAGCGAGACGAAGGCTGTGCGCCCATGTCTTGAGCCTGACAATCAACGAAACCCCTTGGGTTGTTCTATTTCCACCTATGAGAGTGGACTCCGCACCCGGACGGGTTGTCTTGACATTGTTTGACTACTTCCTCGTCTACGATTTCGAGAGACTGCCATGCAACCTCGGAGCATGTGCTCGTACATTCAAATCCGGATGCTGGTGTAGAGGCTGGCATGAGGAATGGGATCATCTCTACTTAGATGAAACTGACTGTGAGCGTCTCACTGGAATAACCTTCAGCGCGATAATCTTCTATGGGATAATCTCTCATAGCGTAATCTCCAATGGAACAATCTTCTATAGATGAATCTCTCAAGGGATAATCTGCTGTGCAAGTCTCTTGTGGGTTCATAACATCAGGAAAACCTGTAGCCTGGCAGTGGGATAACCTGCTCAGACCGTATAGCCATAGGGCAGCCTGGTCTACGATTTTGAGAGACTGAAGACTTTCCCCGCATCGTAAATAGACTTGGTACATGGCAATAAGATCGCCCAGATGCGCGATGATGCGGGATACCGAGTAGTAAAATGGGCTATGCAAAGGATAATCACAACGGTTCAACAGCAAGCAATTGTGGATAATTGCCATACAGGAGGGACATGGAGGCTTATAAGTCAACAACAGCCAAGACTTCATCTCGTGCCAAATGATTTTCAGCGCGATAAAAGACATCACCATCACTGAGGGCTATCATTTACACGGTAGTGCAGCTGAACACCGTCTGACGAGGCCGGTGCCGATATTAAGGACCGTGTGTTAGCTGAAACGGGCTTCTAGCGTTGAAGCTTCGGGAACTTTGTGTTCGTTCTGGTGTTCGGGAGGCCGGCTGGTGTGTCGAGCCGTGTTTTGACGATTAGCGGGAGTAGTCGCGGCACCAGTATGGGACGATCCATCACATAGTCAGGGGCTCGTGACAACGGCGGCGAAACATTGAGCGGGCTCGATGGCGCGGGTGCTAGGACCGTTGGTGAAGTTTTGTTTGCAACGTGGTACAGCCCTGGCCCTCTCCTACAGCATGCTGCGTGGTGGAGGATCTGCGAGGTCCTTGGGAGCTGGCGAGAGAAACCAGGAAAGACGCGGGAGTGGGAGCAGATTTAGCTCTGAGCTTCTTCGCATGGTGCGGGTTGCTTCGTGTTGAGCCCGGTAGCCGAACCCTGCTTCTTAGGGTGATGTTTCGCAGCACGTTCTGCTCAAAGTTCCGAGTTGTGCAAACCCAGAAATGAGTCTCAGAAGTGTTGATCCTGAGCAACGTTGCGGCAGCCGGCTACTGCTGTTATATGACAGCTGTATAAATAGGAACCTTGGGATGGCATAGCATGGCGCATGGCACATGGCATGGGCATTGCATGGCATGACATGACGTTGGATGGGTTACCAGAAATGTGGGTGGAGATGCGAGGCCAGCCAGGCAAGCTGACCCCTGTCCGCCTCTATTTTTCCGCTCACTCTCACTGTGCTCACCCAACGCTGGGCCGGCACTGGGGCCTTGGCCCTTGGGGGAGGACAAGACGTGCACTGTCTCCACCCTGGGGAAACGATTCGATTCCGGTTCGCTGCCGCTAGCTGCTGAGCCACACTCGGACACGCCTGCATATCGCCCATCTCCATCTCCAACCAGCTCGACGACTCCTCAGGAGTGTCTTGACTCTTTCTGCCTTTTGCTGTCAACACCATCCTCGGCGTGCTGTTCTCCTACTCTGTACATACACTGTCACGACGCCTGCGCCGTGTCTATGGTCCTGACCTGAGATTACGCCCCAATTGACCGGGCTACGAAGTATCATCCGAGCACAGGATCGACCGTTGCCTTTGGGCGCCATTGGCCGAGACGATCAGACGAAGCCACCACCATTACTGGCAACATCCTGGGCGATATCTCGTCGCATCTCACACGACCTGTGGGCCGTCGCAGCCATTCCGCCCCGAGCGCATAAAACCCGCCGTTTCAACCCTTGCCACGCACCGTCCGCCTTCAACTCACTGTCTCTGCCCTGCCCTGACCTGCCCTGTCCTGTCCTGACGGAGCCCTGCCCTGCCCTGCCCTGCCCGCGACAGCGAACCACGACGAGCCACAGCGATCCCCGCGTGCCTCGGGTCGGGATAGCCAAGGGAGCGAGCTCCCCATTATCGTCTAATTTTTGTCCGCACTCCGTGCAGAACCCTACTGCGCTGTCCCCCGCAGGGCGCCCACGGCGGTCGAGGTCGAGAAACTCACGGCCCCGATCTGGAATCTACGGGGGTCTCACCCTGTGCGCCATTTGCTCATTGATCCGAACGAGCAATCTTTGCAAGGTGTAGGCTCGACCAGGGGCTGTTACTTGGCTTAATCGATCTTCAAACCAATATCACCTTGCGTGCCGACTGCCTGCCAGCCCGATATACACCCCCGACGCCCCTCGTCCCGCCAACATGGCCGACGCCAATGCTTCCTCCGACTTCCTCCCACACATTCCTCGTGAACGAGCCGACAGCAACATGTCTTTAGGCGGCGGCTACACACTCTCCGAGAATGGCGAAAACCATTCCAACGGCGCCGGCTCCCAGCCAGGTCCTCCAGCACCTGCGACCACTGCGGCCCCCGCGACCGCACCGTCAGGGGATGAGAAGCAGGTGCAGGATGTGCTTTCTTCAGAGGTGAAATTTATCGCGCGCGCATAGGCGGGCTCAAACCAACGCTGACGGCTGTCATAGATCGGTGTTGCCACCATGCTGAACAGATTGAAGCAAAGCGTCGCATCGGCAAAGGTAGGCAGACCCAGCTTCATGCAACGATTTGCAGTGGCTTACTCGAGATATGCTCGTTGCACAGGAATTCGCCAATTTTCTTAAAAAGAGAGCCGCAATCGAGGAGGACAACGCAAACGGGCTTAAGAGACTGGCCAGGCAGACTTCCGACAACATGCGCCGGTCCGATCACCTGGGAGGCAGCTTTGCCAAGGCCTTCGATGGCATGATGGGCACACACAGCAGAATCGCGGAGAACGGCATGCAGTACGCCATGTCGCTGCTTCAAATGGCCGAGGACTTGAACGAGCTCGCGGCTATCGCAGAGAAACAAAGAAAGGGCTGGAAGCAAGATGGACTGGCAGCCGAGCACCGCGCCGCCGACGTCGAGGCACAGATGCGAAAGTCGCAGGCAAAGTACCACTCGCTGGCGGAAGAGTATGACAGGGTCAAGACCGGAGACGGGCAAAAGGGAGGCAAGATGTTCGGATTTAAGGGCCCCAAGTCTGCAGCGCAGCACGAGGAGGAACTTCTGCGCAAGGTTCAGGCGGCCGACCAGGACTACAAGACCAAGGTCCAGGCCTACCAACAGGAGCGCGGCCAGCTGATTTCGACGACACGGCCGGAGGCAATCAAAGCCTTGCAGGACATCGTTAGGGAATGCGACTCGGGCCTTGTCTTGCAGATGCAGAAGTTTGGTGAGTTTCGTCCATGTGTCGCATTCCGGTCATGGCTGATGAATATCCTAGCATCCTTCAACGAAAAGCTCTTGCTGAGCAACGGTTTGAGCGTTAGCCCTCTGAAAAATGGAAAGTCCTCACGGCCGGATTCCATGAGCCTGAGGGAGATTGTTCAGAGTGTCGACACCCAACGAGATTTGAGCGAGTATCTGTGTGCAAACCACAGCAAGGTCCCACCAAGCAAAGGAGAACCTAAGTATGAGCGCCATCCTGTAAGTCCCGGTCCTCTCAGCAGCGCGCCTAGGATCACAGACTGACATCTTGCTAGGTCCTCGGAGGCCCATCTGGCGGTCCCACAATGACAGGTGCACACCCGCCACCATACCAGACGTCAAGATCTCAGCCTCCGGGCCAGGGAGCAGGACAGCCCAGCGGGCATTCGCGCCAGGATTCTTTCCAGCCCACATCACCTGTCAAACAACCAACACAAGATCAACAACAGCCGCTGCCCAGCCAGGACACAGATTGGTCACGAGCCGCGATGCCACCGATACCAGCGCAAGGGACAACGTCTTCCAACCAGCATGAGCGCAGCTTTAGTTCGGCAAGCATGCTGAATCAAACAGGACCGACGGCTTCTCAGCCACAATACAGCAACCGTAACTCATTTGGCCCTGGCATGCTCCTTTCAGGCAGCGCGAACTCGAGATACAACGAAAAGCCGGGAATGTCAACCCAGGGGCCACCGCAACTTGGGGCACTACCGTTCCAGGAGCCGGCACCTTATGCCAACCCACCACCGGCGTTCCCTGCAGACAACATGCCTCCGCAACAGCACAACCAAGGCTCAATGGGACCGGGACAGGCACGGGGCTCATCACCGCCAAGAACGGTGGGCTCGCGGCCGGTTTTCGGTGTATCCCTCCAGCGGCTTTACGAACGGGATGGGCTGGCCGTTCCCATGGTTGTCTACCAGTGTATTCAGGCTGTTGATTTGTTTGGTCTCACGGTCGAGGGTATTTACCGTTTATCTGGGTCTTTGCCACAGGTGAATAAGATGAAGAGCATGTTTGACACTGGTAAGCTAAAAAAACATGTCTGTCTTTGCTCGTTCGATTTGCTAACTCGCTCTCCAGATACTACATCACCACAACTCGACTTCAGGAACCCAGAGAATTTCTTCCACGACGTAAACAGTGTAGCTGGGCTACTGAAACAATTCTTCCGGGACCTACCCGACCCACTACTGACTAAGGAGCATTACTCTGCATTTATTGAAGCAGCTAGTGAGTCACTCCAATCTTCATCTGTCTCTTTTCGTCTGAGCCTAATTCGTGTCCTCAGAGCACGATGATGATATCGTACGCCGCGACTCCCTCCACGCCATCATCAACTCTCTTCCAGATCCCAACTACGCAACACTTCGGGCTATCGCGCTGCATCTCCACCGCGTAATGGAGAACTCGGCCGCGAACAGGATGACATCTCAAAACTTAGCCATCGTCTTCGGCCCTACGTTGATGGGCGGTAGTGTCCACGGCGCCATCAGTGACTCGGGCTTCCAATCGAAAGTGGTAGACACGATCCTTCAGAACACGTACCAGATATTCGATGACGACTGATTCTGATGACCGGAGTCCTGAAGCTGTTCTTGTACTGAAGGATCGGGAGATGTGTTGACAAAGTGAGTGAGAGCATTCGGATCACAAAATGCCAGAGGATGAGGCGAACAGAGGTCCTTGTGTGCAGGAAATGGGACATTACAGCGCTAGCCTGACGTAGGCACGGGCTGGGGATTTCGAGATTGCCACTGCATATTGGGGTACACAGCATGGCGAGCCTCGAAGTAGGTGCCAATCTTACGGGGTGGAGGAGTTTGGGACAATCGGCGAAAGCTTACTGAAGCGAACACTGTCTATGTACGGCCTTTTGGCCTTATCTGCGACGAGGTGTATACTATTACCGATGCCGTCGTCGTAGACAATAATCTCACAACCCATAGCACGGGCCACGATGCACGCTCTCGTCCTTCTCGCTGATCTGCGCCCTGTGGTCTTGTTGGCAGGGGACAGAGTAACGTAGCCAAAGAGACTCGGGTTTTCTCAAGGTACGGGTTGTTGAGCCCAGGAGTATTGCAACATAGTTGAGGAGGGAGACGTGACTGGTGTCTCGAGGTGTGTATATATATATATATATGCATATGGAGACGGCCGTTCAAGGCAGAGATGCAACATTAGGACAAGCCGCGACGTTGAGCCTCTGGCCGGATGACGGGGCCGAGTTAGGGGCCCACCGATATCCGTCCACCAACAGGGCGCTAAACTAGTGGGCCTGGACCAAACAAAGCGCCTGCATGGAACGCCCCGGACTGATCAGCACGGACAGACGTCCCCTTGACCTGCCAAACCAAACGTTGGAGTGATGGCGGAGCTACAACCCTTAACTTAGCCCCCTTCACCTCACCTCACCTCACTTCGCCCTGCGTCGTCCCACTCCGGATGCTCTGAGCAACGGACAACGCCCGTAACCTGCTCGCTCCCACGCAAGTCACCCTTGTGCGGACCATGTAAACCCACCATCTCCGGATCCCCAAGCCAGCGTGCCTCTTGCCTCTCCTCCTCCCCCCCGTCGGTGCCGTCGCCATGGCCTCGTCAGCTGCCCCTCCCGGTGTCGTCGATCCCACCAAGCCCAAGAGCTATCCGGTCATCCTCAGCGATGCTTTGCTTGGCAAGCCATCCAAGGAGACTTTGACCGCTATCAGATGTGAGATTGCCTCAACCTGGAATCCTTCGAGAGAACCCGCGAGACTCTGTCGGAGACTGACGTGCCTTCTGTGACTTCGGCAGACAACCACAAGCCCGCACTATCATCAGACACCGGCCCCAACGAGGCCGAGCTCAAGCCCTCTTCGTCCGACGACGACTCCTTCAACCTGTCCTTCTACGAGAATGGAGGCAAGTACGCGTACAACGGGACGCGCTCGGCCAAAGAGAACCAATATGTCCTGGTCTTCGACCCGGAGCGCAAGGCCTTCGTGCTGCATCGCATGGACTCCATGTTCCACATGAACCTGGCACGGACCCCCTACAACAACGACGCACAAGAACTCAAGGAGAAACACCCCCACATCGATAGCAGCATCCGGCCTGCGACGGACAAGAAGAACACCAAGGCATCGGCGATTAAGGCACGAGAGACCACCAAGAAAGCCGGCGCCGACAGCAAGAAGAAGGAGGCGCCCGCGGCCAAGGCAGAGGAGCCTGAGGTGCAGGTCAAACCATCCTCGTCCCAGGCGGACAAGGACACCAACAAGAAGAAGGCGCGCAACCGGTCGCCGGCCGAGTCCGACGAGGACGAGGACGAGGACGGCGACGGCGGCCTGCTGGTCGAGTACCCGGACCCGGTGCCGACGGCGCCCGTGCGCGGCCAAGACTTCAGCCCGGCGTTCCCGACGGCGATCCGGCGCTTCTCCGAGTTCATGCGGGATGAGGGCCCAGAGTCGGACGAGGACGCCGACGCTGAGTACGACGAGGAGGATAATCTGGGCGAGGAGGACGACGACGTCTCGGGCGAGGGCGGCGAGGGCGGCGGCGGCTTCAAGCTGCCCAGCCCCGTGGTCGGCGGCGGCGCACCAGCGATCGTTGCGGACGACGCGGACGACGACTTTGGAGACGACCTCGAGAAGGAGCTGGAGAAGGAGCTTGAGCAGGAGTTTAGCGGCATGGATGTCGATGACGGTGGGGACGCCGAGAGCGATGTCAGTGAGGAGGACTGAGCGAGTTGAACTCTTGTTACGGATACTTTGGTTGGGAATCGGATCATAGAGGACAGGGGCGGCGTTTGGACTATTTACGGCGTTACAGAGTTGGCTTTTGTACGGCTTTGTTTGTATTGGTGAGACCAGGACTAGAATTGGACTTACAGGACACTTCTTGCTGTCTTTTTGCAATGTCCATCATACTATTTCCACAGCGTGCTGTTTCTACAAACTTTACTCCTCATGATCTGGACCGGAGGCTGGTGGTCCTGGGTCTTTTTGTGTGATTGCCTCTTTCTCCAGAATACGTATCTTTGCCTGACAGAGCCATCACCAACCAAACTCTTTATCAATATACTATTATCCTATTTAGACCTTCTTGGCCACGGCATATAATGATGAAGGCCTAGTTCCTCTGATTGCTACCCGTCGAGACAATATGTTGAACTACGAAACAGGAACTACATGTATTCGTATGGCTACGCTGTGTATGAGTCTTCTGCCTTGAACGGTGACATGATCTGACTATGACGAAGCCCCAAGTCTACTGTTATTCCTGACCAGGAGGAGAGGTTGCTTATCTGAGGGCTCGTTTGAGAACTAGGGAGCGGATCAGGTTGGTGTCCTGATTTCCATTCACTATATTCTTGGTCACCAACATGGGACCTGCTCGGAAAAACGTCATGGTGTGAATAGCAATTGTGAATTACCAGGCTGCCCAGTTGTATTAATGTGAGTGCTCGAGCCAGTAGCTAGGTGAATCTGCTCGGAGTGAAGTATCTCACCGTACAGTTCTCTCCCATTATAAAACCCATCCCTTCTTGCCTGTCCGACACTCAACAACACACTCCTCCCATACCACTCCCAATATTGCAAACGCAAGCCTTCTCAGATCAATAAAGTAGATCTCCTCAGACAAGCCATCATGAAGTTCTTCATCACCACCTACGCCCTCGTGGCCGCCATGGCCACCATGGCCACCAAGCTGGTTGCCGACTCGAGCAACTACGCCCTCACCATCGAGCTGAGCGCCAACGCCACCGAGGTCCTCACCGCAAACGGCCTCTGGGCCCCCAACCTCACAGCCTTCGCGACCGAGGACTACAACATCGACGGCGTCGACTTCACCGCGAATAGTGAGAAGCTCAACCAGTCGGGCCTTGATGTGAACGAACTCGTCCACATCCGCATCGATGACAAGAGCATTGCCGTTACTCCTGATGACCACGACTGCGGCCGCTGTGACACATGCCTCAAGGTCTGTGCGGTTATGCTCCTGGGCTGGTTCTTGTGAGTTGATTTCCTTTCCATACCTCTCTCACCCTGCACCTTTACCCATTGGGCCGTAAGATAGTCCGGGCGTGCAAGCCTATAGAATACTGCTGAGCCTGTAGAGATCTTGTTGTCCTCACGAATTAGGGACGGAAAGATGTCGTTTGGCTGCTTCTAAGACGCAACAAACGCTAACAACTGTGCCTTCTTACAGCTGTGCCGCCGGATGTATGTCTCAACACTACTGCGACGGTTGCCACCCCATCTAAGCAAGCTTGCCTTCGATGGCCTGCTCCAGGCGGCCTTCTGCTATGAGCAACTGGTTCGGAAACCGTCTACCGGTGTCTTGGGCTACCTGAACCGGCTTGAATAGCCTTGTATCTGAGAGTGGTGGAAGGAAAGCATGTGGACAGCCAACTTGGTGATGCTTGCGGGAAATTTTGGAGCAGAGTGGACGGATTCTGGCCGTCTTGTGATGGCCACATCCGATGTAGATGATTGGACTCGCCACGATACATGAATGAGAATGAACCCACCGGTCCCTAGGTTGCCAGATCTAGGACACTAGGAAACCCAAGTTGTGTCTACCCACCAGCCTTGCCTCAGGTTAACGTTCGGATCTCGTGATGATGACACGATGTCTAGCCACTCACTAACGAATGCAGAACCATTTTCTTGTCAACAAGATGCACAGGGTATCAACTGTGTTTCCTCCACATATTGAGCAGGTGAGGCCGGTTCGGGTCGTGCGCCGAATGTAGACAGTCGAAAGACGTGGCCCATGTCTTCTGGCCACTGGTAGTGCCCTGCGGAGCAATCCAAGTGGAATTGTTCCATCAATGGCAATGAGAGGTCCAGACTATGCCCCTGGCGGCGACCACTTAGCCCGCAGCCAGGCACGCCAGGAAACGAATCATGCAGCATGGTCCCCCAATTTCGCGGGGGTATGGGGTAGACGGAGCAGCGGAGATGTGGGGAACGACAGCCCAGTCTTCTTGTCCTCCACATTTTAGACCTCATTCAATCTCCGGCTGTATCGAAATGACAGGAGAAAGACCACCACGCAGTCGGCCGGCCGGCTAAGAACGTTTCCCCCTTCGTGGAGTTTCGCCGCCCCTGTCGCCAGCATGTCCTAGTCTTGTCTGGCCATGTGTTCCCCACAGTTCGTCCTGAGATTCGCCGGCCACGATGCCTGGGTAGGGTGACATTCAAGCCGTCACCGTTTCCGGGAGCCTGGGACGAGGTCGTGGTAATTATAGGCAAGATATAACACGGCCTCGGCCCTTCCCTTCTGTCCACATGGAAGCTTGTCTTGTCTTGATGTCTTGTCACCCTCTTGGCACTGGCACCTAGTTCTGTTCCCCTGAGCTCCGAGAGTCAAGCACACCGACGACGCCTCTTGTCAAGATGCTGGGACCGTCCACCGCCGCCGTGGTGGCACTCCTCTCCCTGGGCTTTACCAGCCCGGTCCTCGCCAATGCCAAATCTGCAGCCCCCTTCCCGGCGACCACCTTCGCAGACTGTCAGAAGAAGACAGCTGACCCGCTTGAAGGCTGTCCAGAGGGAACCATCTATGTGAGCGCCAATGACACCACGGCCGACTTCACCAAGATCCAGGACGCCATCATCTCCATTGGCAATGACACAGAGCCTCATATTATCCTCATCGGTGCTGGGTTCTACTACGAACGTGAGAGACAGATATCTCGACAGGCCCTATTTGGACACGATGCTGACAATCCCCAGAGCTCAACGTGACCCGCTCAGCACCTCTCTACCTGCTGGGCCAGTCCAACCTGCCTTCCCAGCAACAGGACTACGCCGGGGACGTGAGCTACAACCAGACCGTACAGAACGATGTGCAGATCTGGTTCAACTCCGCCAACGTGGGCAACAACCTGATCAGTGACAACGTCTTCACCGGTGTCCTGACCGTGGGCCCTACCCTCAACGCTACTCTCACCGGCAGTGGGCCCACGGGTTTCCCCGTGCCCGAGGATACCCCATTCGGATGCGAGGACTTCAGGGCATACAACATTGACTTCAGGAACGAGTATGCCCCCTACTCGGACGGGCCAGCCCACGCAATGGGCGTGTCCAGGGCCAACGCTGGGTTCTACAGCTGTGGCTTCTACAGTTGGCAGGATACCGTGAGACCCCTCCCGTCCTTCTGATCATCCTGGTTCCCAAGCCCTCCCCCATTTTGGTAGACCTCGTAGTGCTAACTATGCCTTTCTCAGATCTACGTTGGAAAGCTAGCCAACGCCTACTTCTACGACACCGTCGTGGCAGGCCAGACAGACTTCCTTTACGGTTTCGGCACTCTGTACATCACAAAGTCAACGCTGTCCCTGCGCCATTGCGGTGGCGGCGTCACCGCTTGGAAGGGTGCCAACACGACGTTTGAGAACAAGTACGGCGTGTACATCGACTCTTCCCAGCTCATCGCCAACAACGCCTCCACAGCAGCCCAGGTCGTAGGCCAATGCGCCCTCGGCCGCCCGTGGAACGCCCAACAGCGTTCTGTCTTCATGGACAGCTACTTTGACGCGAGCATCCTGCCCGCTGGGTACATCAAGTGGTCTGCTACCGACCCCAGGGTAAACAACTATACCTTCATGGCCACGTGGGACAACTACGGCCCCGGGTGGAACGTCACGGCCGAGATGGCCAGCAACGTCACGCTCGTGCTTGACGACGAGGCCGTCGAGCCGTACCGGTGGCCCGCGGATGTGTTCCTGACTCCCACTGGGGAGCCAAACAACACGTGGTGGGTCGACCAGAGTGTCCTGGTCCCCTTCTGATAGATTCTTGTTTACAAAATGATTTAATATTACATTGTCCTTGACCTGAACGCCGTCGCTGTCTTCATAAGAAATAATCACCAGTGGGCCATCTGTCACCTTGCTTGTCTTCTAAGCCACCAGATATGCTCCTCTTCAGTCCTGCCCACGCACCAAAAGGTCCCCACCACTCTACTTCCGGCTACGGCGGCGCTTACTTGTGCCGCCCTCTCTCTGCGCCTCCCCGTCCTCGTCAAATTCGTCAAAAGACCGCCGCGCGGCCTCCTTGCCTTTGCCCCTGTCGTCGTCTAGGCCGCGCATCTCACGCTCGGGAGTGGCGCCGTACAGGTCCTCCGCCTCGTAATCCTCGTCGACGCGGCGTGCGTCCTGAATGCTCCTCTCGAGAGCGAGGGCAGTCTCTGTGGGGTCGAAGCCCTCGTCGACTTCCATCTGGTAGTCCTGGCGGGAAGGCGCACCCACCATGCTTATCCTCGTCACCCACTGGAGCTGGTCCTGGTCCTCCTCGTCGTGGTCCTCTACCTCCTCGTCATCCCCACCCTCGTCTTTGTCCTCTTGCTCTTCCTCGTCGTCTTCCACGACGATGGGCAAGGACCGGCTGGCGCCCGGGCGGGGTGACTCTCCCGCGTACGCGACGCTGTCCCCGCTGGACCTTTGACGGCCCTGCCCAGCCTGCAGTTGCTCAGCGAGCCCGGGGAATATGGTGCTCCGGCGGGCCGCCTCGATCACGCCTGCGATCGCTTGTTCTTCGGTGAGATCCCGGCGTGGCGGGGCATTATTGAAGCCCGGCGGGCTCCGGCGACGGGGCGCGGTGAGGACGCCGGCGACGATCCGGCCGGGAGAAGTCGTCTGGCCTGGCGAAGCACGACTGGAGCCAGGCGAATTCTGAAGATCCGGGACGCTGGGAATAGTGGCGTCCTCGCCTATCTGTATGGAGCGCAATTCCTCAGCAAGCCCGGGGAATATGGTGCTGCGGCTGGCTGCCTCAATGATACCCTCGATAGCTTGTGCGACATTATGGGGCTGAGATGGCATGGCAGCATTGGATGCCGGGCGGCTCTGGACAGCTAGTGGGACTTGGGGCTGCACAACATCATTGAAGCCAGGGGGACTCTGGCGGCGCGGCGCGGTGAGGACGCCGTCGATGATCCGGCCGGTCCGCCGGGGCTGAGATGCCGTGGCATCACCGGGGCTTGAGCGGCCCTGAGCAGACGGCGAGTTCATGCCAGCGATGGTCTGAGCCGTACGGGCGCTCCGGTGTGATGCGGAGCGAAGAGAGGCGAAGCGGGTTTGAGGAGGTGACATGGTTGCTTCAGAGTGGGAGAATTTCTTGCAAGTCGGAGCGTCGATGTTGGCAATAGTCTGGGCTGTTCTCGCGCTTCGATGTGCCGTGGATTCATCCGCGTTGGAGTCTTGACGCGATCGCGCGCTGATGACTCCGGCGGTGATAGTTTGTCCGATACCGATATTGCGGCCGGCAACAATAGGTTGACCTGCTGTGGTTTCGTCCGAATTCGCGGTGCTCTGAACAGGCGCGTTAGAGACGCGATCAACTATATCCTGAGCGGTTGGATTATCGTCATCCGCCGCGACCAAAGCCGAGTCTGGATTATTCAGAACGGGCTCGTTGGGGCCGCTTCCAACAACGTTGCCCTCGGTGGCTGGAGGATCTTGATTCGCCGGGGAAAAGTAGGAATCTAAGGCGTTCCTCTGAGTATCTTGGGCCTGGTTGGTCCTTCTTCGGCTTGATCTCCGGAGACTGGGCCCAGCGCTGCCATTACCCTTTGAGGAAGTTCGATTCGCTTTTGCAAGGAAGCATTGTACAGGGGTCTCGCGAACATCTTCAATAATGCCCTGAAGAAGCTCTTGGCTCATGCCAGATGGCTTCTTGTAGAAGCCTGCTAAGTCCTGAGTTGTGAGCTGGCTCTGGTTCTTGATCTGCGGCTGTGACTTATTGCCCTTGTCGTGATTGTCATCATCATCGCTGACTATAATGATCTGACCTGGTGCTGGTTGACGCGAGACTCCATCAAACTTCTCCAGGTGGACGCGAATAGACTTCAAAAGAGTCTTGACGACCACTGGAGGAAAGGCATTTCCGATCTGCTTCTTGATGCACTTCCCAACGAACCGGAAGAATGGAGGAAACCCCTGAAGAGCAGCAAATTCCGCCAGTGTGAGCTCCCGCTCGCCAGACCAAAAGTAGCACTGGCCGCCGGAAGTGGTGATAGTCCTCTCTAAGGGCTTGCTGCCATCCCACGGGATCTTATCTGCGGGGCGGGCGCCCTCAACATCATGCAGGTTCTCGCCCTCGACGAGGCCGCTGCAGGCCTTGAAGGCTGACACGAGCGGCTTCTGGCCGTCCTTGGGGTCCTTGCTGTGGGTTGGCTTCGGCCAGGCCGGGAGCTGCTCTCCGGGCGCGGCGCCGATCATGACCAATCTCTTCCGGGTCTGCGGGAGCCCGAACTCGACTAGGTGGATTACCTTCCACTTGACTGAATAGCCGTGGCGAGTAAAGCCCTGTATGAGGGCGTTGAAATTGGGGATCCACCGTTCCTGAGCCAGACCAAAGGTCTGCTCCACCGTGAAGATGCGAGGGTGGAATATCGTGATGATCTTCTCACAAGCGAATAGTGTGGCCCTATTTTCCTCGTCTTTCTTGCCCTCACATGTGTGCGCTGGAGACCACGTCTGACATGGAGGCGAGAAGTGAAGTATATCGACGTTCGAGTGGTCGCGGGTCAGGTCCGTATTCAGCTTTTCGATGTACTTGTAGACGTCTTCTTGGTGCAGCTCAGCGTCCGGGAAGTTTTCGCGGTACGTCTCACAGCACCGCGGCCAGTGATCGCAGGCTGCCAAGATCTTGAGTCCAGCCATCTTGGCTCCCGTCGAGTAGCCCCCGGCACCGGAAAAGACGTCGACAACGGTGTACTTTTGTCCTGGGGCGAGGTGAACTTCAGAGGATTCCGGGTCGGGCTCGAGCGCGCCATTGGGAATGAATGAACCGCCTCGGATCTTTCCTTGGGCCTTGCGGCGTTCACTGTCTGGTACGCGATGTCGATCCTTGGGTATGTCGCTGTAGCTGTAGTGCCTGATCTCCTCTCCATCAATTGGTCGTTGTTGGCGACGATATCTAGGATCCGGGTATGTCAGCACCATCTGCCAACGACAAGCCAATGGTGCCTCGTCCTCTCGCTCTTGTTTGGTCTTGTACCGGACTGAATCGAATCGACACTCTGGAAAAGCTTTGTTCGTCTTGTGCAGAGTCCTGATGGTCTTGATATTGTCAAAAGGGATTTCAACTAGCGCTTGCTCAAGGTATGTGATGGGATTGGCGGTGCGGTAATCATTCGTGTCAATCTCATAGAGCTCGCAGACTTCGTTCTTCCGAGGCTCGATCCGGCCCTCTAGGTTTCTTGTCCTGGAATAAGCCCGACCACGAATGAAAGGCTGCTCACTCTTGAGGGGAGTCCATATCTCATGGATCTCAACGAATTCAGCTTCGTAGCGGCCGACACGTATAGACTCCTTCAACTCGACCAACTGGGACTTGTTGAGCTCGATGCCATCGACCGTCGCATTTGGCACCTTGTGGTGAGTACCGCACGGGCATGGATTTCGAATACCCTTTTTCCAATGCACACAAGGGCCATCTTGGGTATCTTCGACTTCAGTTGCCAACTCCTCGCGCTCGATCTTAGCGTTGTCGTTGTCATAATTGTCTTCGTCGACACGCCACGGATCTTCAGATAGGTTTTCATCCTCGCCATCCAGATCAATTGGGTTAAACCTGGCGTTTCCCCTCTGGACCTGACGGACAATCTCCTCCACCTTCCGACCGATTGCAGACTGAGGGATGTCTTGATCCTCATCGACCAGAATTGGCTGCTCCTCGGAGCCGTTTGGTATCTCAACCTCTTCAGATCCAGTCATATCTGGTCCAGGATCTGACATCTTCGGGTACTGAAATTCTTGACTGAGAACAGAGACTAGTTGTGGGCTGAAGGCCGGAGATACCTGGTCATGATTTGAGGCACCTTTGATGGTTACAAATGCTTTGAAGAAGGCTTGCCTGTCAATAAAGAATTTTTTTGAATCTCTGTCCACTAAGACGGAGGGGCAATCTAGCTTGGTGAATAGTCGTCGAAGCGACCTGAATTCACCGTTGAGGCTTGAGATCTTCCTCGCCCGAAATTCAGATATTCGCGAATGCCACGAGGCTGGTACGAGCGGCTGCAGCCGTGCCATGATAGAATGGAAATTTTGAATGCACTATATCACTGATAGAGTGAACCATTGGTACAAGTTGGTTGAATGGCATATTTCACAAGAAATCAAGAGAGCTTTCCCCTGCCGGTGTTTGATATTCGCGTCGGCCACTGTGAATAGCTGACGCCAGCCCCAAGGCATGCGCTGGATAGGGAAAACAAGAAAATCGCCATCAGTTGGCTCACGTTGAGCAATGTTATCACACTCTGTCCCCTTCTTTCTTCATTTCGATATGGTTCACAAGCACTGGTCTGTTCGCCAAGGCATGAACAAGGAAGTGCTGCGAATATAAAGGCCAGACCAGACTCGCGAACAGATTAAATCCACTTATGTAAAGAGTCCAGCTCATTTGAGCGCACTTTGGCACTTGAAGGACTGAGTCTATAGCAATAATGCAAAGTCATTGCGGACAGGACAAAACACAAAGAGGAAAAGAAATACCTTTTTTCCCCACCCCTTCCTTTAACCTACCTCCCCCCTCTGCAGGGGGTTGACACTCTTTCCTTCCCTTTTGGGCACCTGCCAGTCTGTGATTGGTGGAGACGCAGATGTCACCAGATGGTCCTAGCGCCAGATAGGGCGATGGTCCAGAACGTCCGAGCTACGTCACCGCGAAAAGAGGCAAATCTCGAAGCGGAAATGGTCAGACACGGCTTTCTTGATTCTGCTGTCTCATGTCAGATCTCATTTCCCAAACAGAGTTGGATCGCTTTGATTGCCAGAGGGCCAGAGGGAACCCGACAGGCCCAACCATAGAAAAACAGCAAAACCGGAGCCTTTGCTCCCTTGCCCTACCCTGTCGTTGCATATCCCTACCGTGACGCTGTTGACGTTGAGATGGCGTAGGGATCCTCGTAAAGGGAAGTCCCTGCGGCAATCACCCGGTCACACTGTGACGTCAAGCTGAAATTGGCAACGGCTGCCACTGACGAGATCACGATGCATGAACGAACAACAGCGGCGAGAGTGTGCCGGGGTGCCGCATTCCAAGATATAAGGAATGGCACTCACCTGTTCCTTTCCGGGTGGTTGTCACCTATAACTCATCCATCAATAACATATCTATCTCCTACAAGACCTAGCAGTCAAAATTTAACCTTACCTCCAACAACAACACCCTCACCTTTCCAAAAAAACCTCAGCACAACACCGCAACCATGGGCGCAGTTATGTCATGTATCCAAGGGATCGGAGACTGTATTATGACAGTGATCCGAGCCATCGCTGGAGTTATCATGTCGATCGTTAACGGCATCGTTGCTGTTCTCTCAGCCATCGTTCGCTTCCTGACTTGTAAGCTACCTTCCTCTCAGCATCAACATTTTAAAAGACCCAATGACTAACCAATTCCCCTCACAGGCGGCTACTGCGGACGTGGCGGCGGCGGTGGTACTCGTCGTAGAGGACACACAAGTCATGTCTAGAGGCAACGGCACGGCCACCAGGCGGGCGTGTACGTGAGATGAAAACAAGACCTGGATCTCACCAAGGGGACGAGGAGCGACGGAAGCGGCGCGGTTTCGTTTTGGCTACGGAGTTGGGGGGACGAGTAACACCGGCGCGGGTCGGTCGCCGAGTAATGGAGGAACGCTTTGCATGATCATGGGCCGGCCTCTGCGCTTCCTGTTCAAGGCATCGAAGATATCAGATACCCCTGTTTTCCACTTTGTACAGTACCGACACCGGAATTTTCTTGGATGGAATGATGCCCGCATGATTGAGCATAAGGAATAACGAAATATACCCGAGTTGTCCAACAACCACTACACGAGCCCAGATGATCGAGATTTGCTGTGAAAATTTCCACAACTTCAATTTGGTGACATGCGGACAGGGTCTGCCGACGCCTTTGCGTACAAGCCGTACTCCACAATGTAACCATGCTTCCCGGTGGACGGCATTTAGCCGGCATGGTATCCTGGTCGGTGACTTGAGAGGACCATTTGGAAGATTGTGCACTCGCAGGGTGCATCGTTTAATTATTTGAGTCGACATAATAGCGACATTACTCCTCATCTTCAAGTAGATCCTTTGCAAAGAACCTGGATATCCTCCTAGCAGCCTCCCCGCCTACCATTGGATCTAGGTCTTCAACGGACATGTTGGCAATGTCCCTAATGTTTTCGGTCTCGAGCGTCAACGTCTTGATGTTCTTGCTCGTTACCCCGGGAACGTGCATCAGCATCTCCTCCGGCTGCTGGTTGAACGGCTGCTCCTCGGCGACCTCATTGCTCTCGAGCCCGGCCCTCACTGCTGCAATCGGATCGGGCTCTTCCTCCTGCGCCTTGAGAGACTCGAAGATTTCGGCGGTCTGGTATGGTGATGATGACCATATGACTCGCAGCTTGGGGAAGGCGAGCGTCAGCAGCACGATCTTGGACTGGAGGTCAGACGAGATATTGTCCGGGTTGACACTCTTCAGATTCCCGGAGAGGTCGGCGAAGGGTTCCAGAGTAAAAGACTTGTTCTGATCGAACTCAATCAGGAGCATCGGCGACTTGTAGTGCTGGAACATTGTTTCAGCCTGAGTGTAGAGACGCCCATCCTTGAAAGAGGAAATCAGATCGCTGACCGATTTCCGCTCGATGCAAATGTTGGGCGACAAGATGTAGTCGCCCACGGTCAGCATGCAAGGCACGATGACCATGGAGCGACCATGCAGAAGCGACGGCAGAGAAGATCTGAACTCCCGGACGTCAACCACCACCCGAGGCGGTTGTGCTGTGGCAGCCAGACGTCCGCCACCTGCTATTCGAGTGTTAATGGTCCTGAGAAACGCTTCCTGGGGGTCTTCAACGCCATGAGCATCAATGGTCATGACGACGCTCATGCTCGCGCGCTCTTTGATCAACTTGGTGAACGCATCCTTTTCCCGACGAACCGTAGTCAAATACCGCTGTTCCTCCACAGAGCCGCCATAGTACAAGAAGTAGACGCGCACGTTACGATCGTTGTGAGACGACCTGTAGACCTCGACCCGTCTGATAAACGAAGCCTCGGGCTCGTACATGATAATATACCGTGGCTTGACCTCCTCAAGGACGTGCTCATCTTGGTCTCCGTCGTAGGCGTGAATAACCACCAAATCTTGCATTTCGTACATTTCGTAGAAGTCGTCCATGTCTTCCAATGTGTCTTCGATGACATCTGCTTTCTGCTTCGCCTCCTCTTCTGTGATCTGTATCTCTTCCATGAGCTCAGAGACCTCGCTCGCCTTTTCGAAATATGGCAGAAGGCTTCCATTCTCAGCTCGTCCAAGACTCGTCGCCATGGAGCCACCGCCCCGGACGCGCCGCCTCTTGTTGGCAGGCGCTCTGCTGGTCTTTTGCAAGCGTGGATCTGTCGCTCCTTTCAGTGCATTTTGATTCTCGGCAAACAGTGTGGCGCTGACTTTGGCGAACTCCCGCTTCCAATTAAGGTACTGTCGGAGCTTACGCCTCATCATGAACGTCGCAGACGGTTTATCTTCGTCATCATCGTCCTCGGCACTCTCGTAGACAATCTTCTTTCTCTGCTGCTCTACCTTGGGCTTTACATGCATGGTTTGCAAGTATTCTTTGAGCTGGCGACACGTCGCGGCATCGGAGCACATGATCAAAACAGTGCCATTGGAGTCGTCGCGGGCCGTTGGCTCGAAATAAAGATCTCTGTCAATTTCCTGGAGAACGTCGGCTAGTACAGCCCATTTGGGCTGTTCCTCGAGAACTGGCCGCACAGAGTCAATATTGGAGTCTGCGCCTGGTTTGTTGACGCCACTGTAGACTCGCTTCCTGCCGACATCAAAAATGGTCTGGGCAGCGTCAAGAAATAGCCACGGAGACTGATTCTGCCTGGTTGTCCCCGGCGCAGGCGAATGGGCAGCATGGATGGTGTCTAGATTTTGCAAGAATTGCACAGCATCCATTGCGACAACGGCCTGCAACAAGCCGCGTAGCACCGTTAGATCGTTGACGATCTGTTTTGTCTTCCAGCTGACCCTATGCCAATTTGGGTCGAGCTGACGTCGAACCATGACATCGAAGTTCTTGGTCAAGGCGCTGTCGAGATTCCAGTCATCCATCTCGAGGCCAGTATTTCCCTTCTTGAGTTCATGAATGCTAACTTCGACGCATTCCATAACGGCATTCTGAATCTCCTTCATGGCATCGGTCATGGGGACTTCCAGCTCAATGACCTCTGCCTTTTTCTTGCCCTCCAGAGACTGGGCGACTGAAACATGAAAGCGAGGCCACAGACTCGCCTTCCTCAGGAACAAGTTACGCATCATGGCCGCGAGAGGATTGAAACCAGTGGTGAAGGGATCCGGATTATCCGCGAAGGCCTTCAAAAACCCGACCTTGTTCTTCTGGCGGTAAATACGTAGAATAAAAGCCTCCAGACTCGTAGCAACTATCCTGTCGGCGTGTAGTACGACCATGCCGGTGATTTTCTCAACATTCAATAGATTGGTGAGCATATCCACCACCAAGATCCGGCTCGTGATGCTGAAGATGCCGCCTGATGCATACATTTTCTCTCTGGTGCCGACATTGGTGTAGTCAGTGTTGACGACGGTCAGCCCCCGAGCCAGGGGCGCCATGCTTATGGCTGCATGCTCGGCAAGAGCTTCACCGATCCAGTTGTTTTCACGATCTTCAGCGTTGACTACGACAATGAGATTGTTGCCGGCAGCATCGTAAGAATGCAGGAGATTGGTCAAGAGGCGCATGAGCCCAAGACCACGTGCCAGAATGACGAGCTCATCCTCTGTGCGGAGCTCTTGAAAGAGAGACTGTTGATATTCCTTGATAGAGGCATGAAATGTGAGCGTTCCATGTGAAGATCTAAGAATGGCCAGAGAGACATACAAGGGGCAGTGAGAGCTTCACCGGCTGTGGCGCATCGTTGGCGGCCATGATGGAGTGTGGCAGCCGAGTGCAAATGCGATGCCTACAGAGAAGGAGTAAAACATGGTCTTTGGATTGGCGGATTGACCAGTGTCAGCAAAGCCAGCCCGATATATCAGGAAAGGCTGATATCCGGCCAGTCGACATTCACGCGTGCAGTTCTGACGCGACCTTCAATGTCGTCAGATTGGAGTAGCCGCCCGTCGACAGTCTGACAGTCAACGGCCGATCGACAGCTGGTGCCAGCCGCCGAGCTAGCTTGCTGTCCCTCGATGACCTTGAAAAGCCTCTGACCAAGACGGATAATTTCCCTCTGTATCCAAATTGTCCAATAGAGACAAGAGTAACAACAATCAAACATCAGACGTGAGGAGAGCCTGAATTGTCGATCCCTGCAATTCCGAACGCCGGGAGTGGTTGAGGCTGTCTGTGAATTCCGAATCGGAGGTTCCAAAAGTGAGGCAACCGGCCTGATTGTCGGCTTGACGCAAGCAAGCCGAAACAGCCTGCTACCCTGTGCTGGGGGTCTCGGCCGCTTCCGCCTCTCAGCTATTGCGACACAACAAGCTTAACATGTGGAGAGCCTACCAATTACAAACATCTGCCTGGATGATGGGCCTAATAGAGTACGCAGTAGGCAGGTAAAGTCGATGGAAGCCGCGTTGCCCGTTGGCGGGGCGTGCTTGCCTGCTCAGTCACGGGTCGCTGTTAGTCAAGAACGACGTCATCTTCATGTGCTGGCAGCTAGCTGTACGTAGACGGGGACTTGATTGTCCAGGAGAGGGTCCCAGGTCAACCCGATGTGGCTGTATAAGACGGGACAACATCCCATCGTACAATCTGCACAACGTGGGCTTAATTCCCAGTTTCCTACTTCTTACAACATAAGATTCCGAGTCTCCTAACCTCCAAATAAGTAAGACCTAATTCCATGCCACCAGGCACTTCTGCATATAGGACGACCACCAACTGATAACCTTGACTATTAGCCGTCAAAACATCAACTCACCTACATACAACAACCAACCTCAGCCAACAGCAACCATGTCTGACAAGAACCAGCAAGAGAAGGAGTTCACCACTCAGGTAAGCTCTGTGCAGCCTCCATCCTCTTCTGCCCTCTCGTAAAACCCCCTGCGAGCGCTCTGGCTAATCTCATCTCCTTCCCCAGCCCATTGACGACAAGAAGGAGGGCGGATCCAGCTTCATTGAGGCCATCAAGTCTAAGGTTGCCCCACACGTTGCTGCTCCTGGCCCGGCCCAGTCTCACGACCACAGCGAGATCCCCCAGGAGGGTACCAAGGAGGAGCGCCTGGCCAAGGCCAAGGAGCTCAACAAATAATTCAAAGAAGCCCCGGTGTGATGTTTGGGTTTCTGGGCTGTTGCGATACTCGGTAGAGTCGGCCGCGGGGGCAGATACGACGAATTAATGAGAGAAATGACTTAAATACCCCGAGCTTCACAGACCGTGTCCCGCACCTGCTTCGCTTGAACACGTCCAACTATTTTGGCAAGTGTTGGTCAATAAGGTGATACTAGTGGGTTGAGATGCGACACTCGTGCAGTGCTGCAAATTGGTAAATTATGATCTTTGCGGAGAAGCTTGTCCAGGAGCCCTACCGATTCCAGACTCTTGAATCCACATTAGCCATTCGACGGTGATGCCTTATACTAGTGCCCGGCTGCAGCAGAATGCAGATCCAGAACACAATATTTGTTATGTGTATTATACAGTGAGGCTGTAGATCAGCAACGTTGTCAACAAGATCAGCGATAAGCCCGAGCTGTGGCTGTGCTCGCAACCGATGTCTCAAGACAGCAGAAAATGGGGATCGCTTCAATCGTCTGATATTCATGTAACGGGTAGGTTCTCCTATCAGAGCGATGATGCAACAGGTGTCATGAAACGTACTTTGCGTTCGGGAAGCTCTCGATACGCAATACGGCCGGCTGGTCGGGTTCCCAGAAGCTGCAGGCACCCAGCAGTGCTTTGGGCATGGAGGCAGCCCTGCCACTTTACCCATCCCTCACTGTAAATTGGCACTCCCTCAGGTCAACCTCACCTCATTTGGACCCATTCCCCGCCTGTTACCGACCTGTCCGGTGACGATCCTTTCGGTTAGGCCTGCGGTACGCCTCCTTGTCTTGCACGTGTCTCGAGCTTTAATTGCTCAGTCTGCCAGCTTGCCCAGTATAGACAGTCGTTGCCAAGATCCGTTCGAACGGTACACCCTTGATTTAGCTACGTCGGCCTTGCGCTTGCCATTTAGTACCCAATCCTACCTACATCCTACCTACTTCCAACGGCTACCATACTCTGGACTGGACTTACTGCCAATTTACGCGCGTACAGTAAGCCACCAACGACCTCCCATCCGATTTGCTAGGGTCGCCGTACCTGCGACATATCCAAGTGGGCGCTGCCAGTCATCCAAGCCAAGCCAAGCGTTCCTTGGTTTGGAAACACCACCACCACACAGCTTAGTTGTGTGCAACAGTTCTACACTCACACGACACCACTACTTTGCTGCTTTTGTCATAACCACCACCATTACCAGCACCGATCCTACCGCCACTGCCACGACTGCGGCTTCCCGCAACTGGCAGCGACACGACTCGAGCGCAGTTCAATTGCTCATCCCATGATTTAACTTAGGGGCCATCGAGACAAGGCCGCTGGGAGGAGAGACCCCGAATCCCGCCCAACCTCCGCCCCTCTTTGTCCTCCTCGACAACTGATCCTCAGTCTCGCCGTCCTCTCCCAACCCCGACTGCGATAACACGATGCCGTCCATCCTCAGCGATGCCGACAAGGAGACCGTCAAACGCTTCGTGCCCAAGCAGAGCAACAAGATCCAGGCGGTGGCAGTAGCACGACTCTACGTTGCTTACCCGAACAGATCAAAATGGACATACACAGGCTTGCAGGGGGCTGTCGTGCTTTCCAACGACCTTGTTGGGAACACGTATTGGCTCAAGATGGTTGATATATCCGTAAGTCTCCCTGGCAGTGAACCACCCTGTCCAAGGCGCAAGCTAACTTACCGCGCCCAGCCCGCCATGCGAGGGGTTGTATGGGATCAGGAGATATTCGACACGTGGAGCTACAACCAGGACCGAACATTCTTCCACTCCTTCGAGCTAGAGGACTGCGTGGCTGCCCTGTCTTTCGTCGACGAGAAGGAAGCGAAGCAATTCATGAAGAAGATGAACGACAGGGAAAAGAACGCAAGTAAAGCTACCAAGGCGACACCATTCGGAGGAGTAGCTCCAGGAGCGGGCGCCGGCCACCACAAGCACAGTCTGCTGGGTGGCATCTTCGGAGGACATAAGCATGCCTCTGCACCAACGCCGCCCGACTCTCCTCGCAATAGCGCTCCTCCAATCGGTCACTTCCACAGACAGTCATCTGGGAGCAATGGACACAGGTCCGAGTTTGCAACCCTCGAGGCCTTTGATCCGGAATGGAGAGAGCATTTTGGCGACGACCTGAGAAGTAAAGGCCTTACGGATGACTTCATAAAGGACAATCAGGACTTTATCGTCGATTTCCTCAAGCAAGAGCAGGCTCAAACGAAGCACTCGACCCCTCCACCGCCACCGCCTCCGGTCAACGGGACCGGATCCAGAGCCCCTCCCCCTCCACCGGCACCACGACGAGGCGGCGCTCCTCCACCACCTCCAGCACCAAGAAGGTCTGGGAAGACTGAGCCGGCCGCCGTCGCTAGGGAGCCGACGCCTCCTCGCGATCCATCACCACCAAGGCCCAAATTCCACGTTCCTCCACCGCTTCCTGATGCCGGGAAGCTCGCGCGCTCTGATACAGCCAGGGCGCCTGCACCCGGCCCTCCTCCTCCACCACGACCAGCGAAGTCTCCCATTGAAGATACCAGAGAACCGGGCCACAAGTTCGGCGTGCCCCCACCATTTCAAGGACAAAGAAGTGTCCCACCGCCACCGCAAAGTCGTGGCCCCGTGCCTCCTCCGCCTCCGTCGCGAGAGACGAGCGCTATCCCGCCAGGTCCGCCACCACCACTTCCTCCGAAAGCGCCTGGCTCGGCCGCACCGCCTCTCCCTCCTCCGACTTCGCGACCAGTCCCGGGTCTACCCACGAGAAGTCCCGCAGGACCTCCTCCCTTACCAGCTTCCAGCGCCCCGGCCGCACCACCACCGCTGCCAGCTTCTGCAGCGCCACCTCCACCGCCGTTGCCAGCAACAAACGCACCTCCACCGCCTCCATTGCCTCCGACCAATGCCCCGGCTGCCCCTCCTCTGCCACCACCATCCTCAAGTGGGCCGCCGCCGCCGCCTCCGCTGCCGCCTGCAACTGGCGCGCCAAGCGGAATACCACCGCCGCCGCCACCACCACCAGGTGGAATGGCCGGCGTCCCCCCGCCCCCAGGACCGCCCCCGCCACCCGGGCCGCCTCCACCTCCAAATCGCGACTCAGGTTACTCATCCGGTGTTCCAGCAGCGGCCGGCGCCGATCCCAGCCGCGCAGCAATGCTGGACGGCATAACGAAGGCTGGCGGTATTGGTGCTCTGAAAAAGGTCGACAGGTCTCAGATCCGTGACAGAAGCGGAGCACAAGTTGGAGGCAGCAACGATACAGGACCACATGGGAGTGGGCTGCCGCCAGCAGGGGTCACGCCAGCAGGGGGCGGCGGTATGGCCGATGCTTTGGCTGCAGCTCTTGCGGCCAGAAATAAAAAGGTTGCTCATAGTGGTAAGTTCTCACTCGCTGAAGATGTTTTGGGCGACGTACTAACGAGCTACACAGACGATGAAGATGATGACAATGACTGGGATTAGAGACTATGATCCAAGAGTTGATCAGTGGAAGAGGAGGAATATAGAAGAGCTTCGTTGTCAGCGCATTGCACTTGGAGACGGCCGAGCAAGGTTCACTTAGCCTCGGTCGTGATTCTCGCAGGCTTATAGGCTAGCAACTTTACGCAGCATTTTATCTTCGTGTCGGCCATCATTGCTGAAACGCGGGTACTCGATGATGGGCTGTACCATTTTGGAAGAGACGAGAGCGCTCTGTTATTTCGTGGAACCAGACGGTCGCTGTCCGCTGGTATAAAGTACTCAGTGACCGTCGCGGACTTATACCGAGCCAGACATCAAGATTGAGATACAACTACAAAACCATTAAATCCTGCAGGAAGAGATCCCGGAATAGATGGAATTACTGTGATATAAACCGGTCTAAAATGTGCATTTTTGGTCTTGTCCAGACTGGTTAATCCGTGCATCGTACTCCCATCATCATGTTACGCCGCCCGTCCACGTCAAGAGATACCGCATAGTGCAAATTGTCTCCCTTGAAACGACTCGAGCACTTATCATCAAGAATGTTAAGGAAATAACACGGTTGCCGGCACAGGACGTCCCTCCCATCCCAAGCCGCTCCACACACTCAACTGTCGAGAAACCAGGGACGAGCAGCAGCAGCAGCGTGCCACCACGAGCCCCCAGGTCTAAGAGAGAGAAGACAGTTCTGTTCCCCGCCGCCTGGTCGACAACGGTTCACTCGCGCGCCCTTCGGCCGAGGACGTCCGAACACACTCCCACACACACACACTGACGCTTCGAGGACTTGACACCGGACTCCAGAGCCGCCAAATCCGCGGGTATGAGGTCCGACAGTTACAAGAGTGCCCGTCGTTTTGTCTCGGTGGGTTAGGGGGTCTCTAGATGTCGTCGATGTCGACCTCCTTGCCGCCGGCGCCGCCCTCGTCGCCGCTCTCCGAGTCGCGGTCCTCGTCGAACTCGAAGCCGCAGTCGCCGTCCTCGCCGCCGCCGAAGTTGTCCGTCTCGTTGATCTTGGCGGTCTCGGGGAGCTCGCCGTACGCCTTGAGCGAGCGGGCCTCGTCGGCTGTGTACTTGAGGCTATATGGCATTGTCAGTCAGTTGCGAGGATTTCTAGACGGAAGGGGGTGGGGGGTTCAACGTACATCACGTCGCCCTTGTCGTCCTGGTAGTCACGCAGCGACAGCAGGATGATGTCGCCCTGGTTGATCCAGACCTTCTTGCGAAGCTTGCCGCGGATGTTGCCGAGTCTGCGGGTCCCGTCGAAGCACTGCGCCTCCAGACGGCCGTTTCTGTGCGGGAGAGGAGGATTGTCAGCATATGTGCCGCAGGTTGCGTCTTGCCACGGACAGGCGGCGCGCGGTGGGAGGAAATGTTTGGCTGTTCTGTGCCAGAGTCGCTTGCGAGACGATAGCGATAGTGTGACATACCCGAGCATCTTCACGACCTGTGCATACTCCTGGCCGTCCTCCTTGAAGGTGAGCTCTCGCTTCTCATTGTCGTTTTCGTTCTTTCCACGTCTTCGGTTCTTGCCTCCCTTTCCCTTGTTCTTAGGCATCTTGTCGGCTTATCAATAAAAAGGTATCCGCGAGTTTAGGACCGAGAGGGATAGCCTGCACTTGTCTCGAGTGCGGAACAGGGAGGGTTGTCTGTGCTGTGGTGAAATGCAGGAGGAAGGAGTAGCGGCGAGTGACAGGCGACGGGTTTGTGTTGGCGGGGTCCTTTTGTGCTTGTGGGCTTTCGCCGCGGGGCGAGTCCAGGCGCTAGGGAGTCATTGTGGGCCTGGCGGTGGGTCCCGAATAGACCGGGCACTAACGCTCTACTGAATCTGCTGTACCGTTCAATTGCATACATAGCACCCGTGATACCATCCACACTGACTGACTGATTCTGACTAGACTTTTTACCTTCACCTGCTTCACTGCATCATTATCACTCAATTTTAGAGAGCAACTGTTGCCTCGTGGGGCGTGAGAAACGACTCTTTGTATGCCAAACTGTCGTGGGCTCTCACTGTGAGTCATTTGCGAGGCTGTGGCTGTGCGAAGGATGGTCAGAAGTTAACCTAAGGTATGAGTAGTTGGCCCTGCATCTTTCATCAGGATGACATGACAGCTGCCCTGAAGAACCATGTTTAGTTGTGGCGTCCTCTTCAAACCAAGGGGGAGAACATTGATTACAACATGGCAACCGTCTCATGGCTGCCACTGCAGCAGAGAATTCAAGCGATTCTGGACGATGCTTCATCGGATTCCAAAACAGGCTGAGAACAAAGAGCAGTATACCCTGGAGGGGAGAAAGCGTCTCGCGGGGCTGATGGAACACAATATTGGGCTGTACGATGAGCTCAAGACCGTACAGAAGTTGCGCTGGCAGAATATGACGGTCCATATCGCTGGCCGACACACAGTACAGTGGTACGATCTGAAGTACTTCACCAACGCCGGGCTGCCGTACGTAGAGGCTGTCTGCAGGAGGTATTTAGCGGACAATACGAAGCCTCTCTGGTGGATTGCATCGGCGCTCAGCTCAACGGCGAAGTCCGTCGTCCGCAGCAAGGCCACCACTCGCCTGAACGCTGCCTTCAAGCAAGCGCTGCACAACGCCGGGTACGACACGCAAGGGAAGAGGTTGCCAGACCAAGGGAAACAGCCTCAGTCTGGGACCCAGGCGATCAAGCAGTTGTTCGGCACTGTGATTATCAAATCCCATGCGCCGGCTGAGATTCAGAAGATGCCGTTCAGGGACTTGCAGAGGTATTGCGCAAGAATTGTTCACGCCGCGGAAGAAGCCCTAGGGCCTCGTCCTGGAGATGCCGCCAAGGGAAGCAAGGCAGGCGCGGCGCCACGTCAACAAGACTTTGGGCGCCCTGGCAGCGGTAATAGAGGAGGCAGAGGAGGCCTTGCCAACAAGGCGGGAGGAAGCACGCAACGGCGTCCTCAGAGAGACGAGCATAGTCGACGAAAAGGGAATATCCAGAGATAACACGTGAGCATTGCCAGTGACACTACAACTGCAATAATCCATATACCACCATTCTCAGCCGTGCATGCTGTGACGAAACTTACCACGCTTATTCCCATGACCAGCTTGCGATGAAGTGCACGGACTTCGTGGCTTCTGGCGAGTCTGAAGTTCTATCTTCTTCATCTCGAAAGCATGTTGGGAGACGGGAGAGCTTTGTAAGGAACCATGAGAGCAAGTAGAATGAGCCTTAGAAAGACGTACTGGGCCACAACACTGAGTCATAGAAAATTAAATAAATACAGCATCTCATTAACGAAATTGACTGATTTTTGTTAGTAAGACCAGGTGATAGACTTCCAGAAATGGAGGTCATCTTATAGACTGTAAGAGGTGTGCAATTTGTACTTACACCGACCTAGATTCTGCTGGAGTATTCATGTGGTCAGGAGCGGGTCCATGGCGCTCACACGTACTTCAATGTCATTTATAGATGGCCAAGCCCCTTCTGCCATTAATATGTCCTTGTTAAACATTCATCTAGTAGACACTTGAGGTAAGCCGTCCAGTCACTTGTGCCTTCAATCTCAGCTTGGCTTACATAAGCTCACAGCTGGCCCGCTGCATGTCTGTCCCTGGTTTCACAAGCAACGCAATCGGCACCAACTGCCAGCGTAACAACTTTCCAAACCTTGATTGAAAAGCCCATCTAGCACTGACTCTCCGTCCCCAGCCACTGTTGATTAGGCCAATTCTTTCTTGATTCCGTCACCAAGTTCGTATCAGGCTACAAGAGGCGATCCAAGACGACGGGCCAAGATGCTTGTCTCCCTGACTGTCGGCAAGGTCGACGCCGGCGTCACTGTCCTCCTGACCCCAGATAAACGACTCGTAAGTCTACATGGGTAGCTTGTTGGCAGCGCTCCATACCCTTGCGCGGCAGCTGCCAGCACGAACTTGGGCAGTATAAGCTTAACGATGTCCTCCTGCAGATCGAGTTCCCATCCATCCTCCTTCCACCAGACATCTCTTCTGGCTCCATCGTCGACATCACCGTCGCGCGCAATCTATCCTCCGAATCCTCAGCCGAGCAGCGCTTCCAGGCGCTCCAGGACCAGATCTACGGCTCCTTTGGTTCTGCCTCGCCCTCCAGCCCGATACTTCGCTGCCGCAACGCAACTCAGACCTCAGTCGTGCTAGAATGGGACCCCATCCAGCTCGCGACCGCGGATCTCATCAGCCTCGTGCTGTACCGCAACGGCCAGAAGGCCGGCAACATCCCCCGCCCACTACAGATGCACACGACCAAGATCTCGGGCCTGGCCGTGGACACGAAATACACCTTCCACATGGTGCTGAGGACAACGGCTGGCACGTACAGCAGTGAGAAGGTTGAGGTTCAGACACACAAGATGACGGATCTCAGCGGCATTACCATTACGACCGGGATCCTACCGCAGTCCATGCGCGAGGAGCTGGCAGAAGCCGTGGAGAGAATTGGCGCCAAGATCGTGGACAGCGTGAGGATAGACACGACACACTTTGTCACCACCGAGGGCCGGGGCATCCAATGGGAGAAGGCTGTGGAAATGAACATTCCTGTGGTGCGGCCGGAGTGGGTGGAGGCTTGTGAGAAGAACGGCAGGATCCTGGGTGTCACTAAGTTCTATCTGGATGCACTGAGGCCGGGCCCACCAAGTGAGGACCGGCCTGGGACGGCTGGGACAATCACTCAGCACCAGCAACAGCAACAACCTCCTCCAGCGGCCCCAGCTGCCGCTCCAGCTCCAGTGCAGACGGAGAAAGAGTTGCCAGCCGCACCTTCGCCAGAGAATGGAGGGGAGAGCAGGGAGAACGAGAAAGAGGACCCCGCCGAAGCGAACGGGGCCCAGGATAAGGAGGCCGCCGTTGAAGGCGGAGGTCATGAGACCGATGAAGAGGACAATGAGCCGGAGGAAAAGACCAAAGCGGCAGAGCAGGGCGAGCAGAAGGTCAGATTCGAGGACAAGGAGCAGAACCTGACGTTGCGTCCAGAGGCATCAAAGTCTGTAACCGTGGAAGACGCCGACGACAAAGACGCAGGGGCACAAACCCCAGCAAGTCGCGCATCGTTCCAAGATGTCCAGTTATAAGCGCTACGTTCTCTTCTGGGGTGGCAGCGGAGATGATCAAGCCGCATCTTGCTAGCTACCGATGTAATATTCTTGGCGTCTGTTGAATCTGGCCCAGGTCGGAGGTTTACGCCCAAAAGGTCCAAATATACCATAATGAATTCAAGACGAATGGCCGCCTTTTTGTCCGACATTTGACACATACTACAAATGCGGCATCTAGCCGATGAACATAGCTTCTAAGCAGTCTGGCCTATGGCAATATCTCCTCTCCCTTCCAATCCCAACACCTCCCTCTACCCTCAGGTCCCACCTTGCTTGTAGCAACCTCGACCATCTTCTCCGCGGCGAACTCAGGCTCAAACAACTTTCCTTTGGGCACCGAATCCCAGAAGTCACGGCTGAGGTCCGTCCTCACCGTGCCGGGGTGGTATGCCATGGCCAGAGCCTTCTCCCCACTCCTCGCAGCCAGCTGCAGGTCAAAGCTCTTAGTGAGGCTATTGACCGCAGCCTTGCTGCTCCGGTAGCTGTACCATCCGCCCTTCTTGTTATCCGAGATGCTCCCCACGCGCGCGGACATTGTCAGCCAGACGGCATGGTCAGGCAGCCGGACGGACGCCGACTGATGGCCGTTGTGTTCATCCAGCGCGAGCTGTGTGCGCTTCCGCGGGAGGAAGTCCTCGAACCACTTCATCAGCAGCAGCGGGCCGAGCGTGTTCACGCGGTACGTGGCCAGCGCCTTGTCGGCGTCCACCTGCCGCGGCGACTTCTCAGGGTGCAGGATGCCCGGGATCGCGAAGCCCAGGTGCAGGTGGTGCGAGTCGCGGGGGAATAGCCGCTCCGCCTCGTGCGAGGCCGCCTCGATCGTGGACTCATCCGTCACGTCCAGCTGCACTATGTTCAGCCGCCTGGCTGCTTCCTTGTCGTGTTTGATGTCCTCGAGCAGGCGGTCCTTCACGTCTGATGGGTCGCTCCGCGCCGTGGCTAGGATGGGGACTGTGGTGTTTCGCAGCAGGTGCCTGGTTAGGACATGGCCGAGCCCGCGGCTGGACGGGCAGACGAAGATCCAGGGGCGCGACATGGTAATTCTTTTGACGTGAGGTTTCTCATGAGATCCGGTGTGAGAGCTCCCAGTCGTCGATGAGGTTGGCCGTTAAAGTCATGCTCGTCTTGCGCTAGGGCTGTCAGGACTAACAACGCAGGGAGCTATCTCAAGCTCACAAGCCAATGCTAGTTGAATCAAGGTTATGAGATGCTGTGGGCCGATTGGATCTATCTACGCATCATCGTGCCAACCTAGACTAACAAGGCTATGAGCTGTGTCGAGCTCAGGGATATGTGCTCCAGTGATCGACGTCATTGCCGAAGATGTCTTAGATCGCCGTCAGGGATTCAGGGGTCGCGCTGATGTGGTATTTCGGATGATCCCCTGAACCTTAATTTTGGTGAAGGCTTCAGTAACACCGTATCTAAATAGTATAGCTGGTTTCGCCTACCGAACAAGACATTTCCAAATCATACAGCTGGATCAACTGCGAATCTTCCACCCATCTCCTGATGACTGAAGTCATCGACTCAGCCATTGTGCTTAGCGCCCCTTTATCTTCAATAATTCCAATGGTCTAAGTCACTCCCGTTATCTTCTACAACCTGGCAAGTGCAAGCCTCCTGGGAGCCATGAAGATCGAGTGTCTGAAGTCAACGAACATGGCTTTTTTCTCATTATCTAGTCGTCGAAAAATTACGACCATGAGTGGCCATCAAATTACTGTTTGCTTGCCTCCACGGAAGAAAATGAGTCAACAGGGCAAAGATCCACAGGTTCCTCCCATGGCGGCTGATGAGCTCAAGCTCGAATGTCCCCTTCGCGGCTACAGTACCTATGTGATGAACAAACGAAATCAAAACGGGAAGCTATAAAAGAAAAAATGATCATTTCTTATGAGATAACCCCTTGTCAGATAGTCAGCTAGATGAGAATCGTTGATAGGATAACCTCCCATAGGGAGGGAACCCCGTTTTCAGATAATCTGTTTTAGAATGTTTTCTTTTTGGATAATCTCTGATGGGATATTTCCTATGGAATAACCTTCTGTGGGATCATTCCCTGCTTGATAATACTATATAAGGGATTAAAGAAGCTACGCGGAGCTCCGCAATGATTTGTCGTTTTCCTCTCGTAGTCTTACAAATGTGGCAATGTTGTATCAATAGTGTGCGTGTGATCTGATGGTAGGGCTCTAACGCATTGCCATAAATTCGAGGGGCATCCTGATCCATTGAGGTTGGCACTGCCAGTCCTCCCTATAGACTTTGGAGAGTGGACTTGCAGTGGTGCCCCCTTATTCATTACGGCGATACAATTCTCGGGCAAGGGCTTTGTTGAACCAAGGAATACCTTTTTGCTCTTTTTGGATCTGAATATCCTGCTACATTTTAACAACTGAAGCCGAAAGTGATCCCGAGCCATGCAAGGCGACAACTTCGTCCTGAATCCATTTTTACAGACTGTTCTTTGTGAACAGGCTGTCGAGTCAGGCATCGCTGTATCAAAGAACACCGCTGTTTGATCGAATGGAAGTCCGCCTTGGGCGTTTCAGATGTATCTATAAGACCAAGCAATGTCTCTCAGTTCTCGTTGCACCAGACGACGCATATGTTTCTTCACTCATGCGAACAATACCCATGTTTGTTTAATATTTAAGGCTTCATGCCATCAGAGCTCATCATATCAACGCCATGGGTCACTTCCTCTCAAAATTGCCTGCGGCCACCCCATTGTTACCAGCAGGTGTACAGCAGAGCCAGCACATAGTCAAGAAGGACCACCGCCACGTTGATGGATATTTGTAAGTCACCTGAATGAACCCACTCGTCACCATACACAAAAGAACATAAATCATAAGGCAGATCATATAGCGAGACTAACAAGTTGCCCAACGTAGCCCCAACACCACGCGACCATTTGATTACAACCGACCGACTGAGCGGTACGAAGCCTTAAAGACTTTCCACCCCTACCGAAAGCTTCCCACTGAGCTGAAGTTCATGATCTGGGAACATACATTTCCAACACAGCGGCGCGCCATCGAATTGCAAAAGGTGGCCCATCCATACCGTGGAGTCGTGTTCAGCATCCGCGCCGTGCCACGAACCCCCAACGTCATCAAAGTCGCGCTGTCCGTCGACCGCACCTCGAGAGCCTTGGTCTTCAAGAACTACATCCCACTGAAACTAGGTTTAAGAATCAAGCCCTTGGATCTCGACTGGGCCCGCCTAGGTCGCATGCCTCCTGGAGCTTGGTACCGGTACGGCCTCCGGGGCACTATGTGGAAATCCCCGGGAATCGTGGGGAATAAGTGGCTGTTCGCAGGCCCGACGGTCTTCATGAGCGAGCGGTATGGGGACACCGTCATGACCAGGGACCGCAGCGTGCTCGTCTTCCCCTACCGGCCTGCCGCACACGGGCTCGACACCATCACCAAGACGTATCTGCAGCCCTCTTGGAAGTTGGATCTCTCAGAATTCTCTGCGAGACCACCCTTCCCCAGTCTCAATCCCCATATATGTCCCGCGCCTGCTTTCACGTGGTCGACTGGCTTCACCTCGTCGGATGGCTTCACGTGGGCGTTTTTCGAGAAGTGGTGGGCCTGTCTGCCGCAGCAGGAGGAGGAGCGTGACTCGCCTCCGGTCGGCTGGGAGGCGGAGATTGATTTCTGGAACTCGCCCAAGGAGCATGACGTCCCCTATATCCTGCAGTTTAGGGGAAGAAAGCCAGGAGCATGCAGGCGGCTCTAACATGCTCAGTTTTGAGTACGCTTCGCCAAAGGATGTGCGCGACACGAGAGAATGATCAGGTTTGTGGATGAGATAATTACGGCGATTGGGAGACAATTAGGAACGTGGAAGAGTAATTACCATGGACAATGATACCACAATTCTACTCTGCCTCAAACCCAAGAGAGGAGCCATCAGCATGATGCAGATAACGTCAGGGAGAAATCTCTTTTGTAGACTTTGGCTGGCCCCCCGCAGGCTAACGAATACTTTAGTACGTTGGGACCTGACTGCTAGAAACATCATGCTTTTATGTTTTTGCCTGTACAGGAGTTCAAGTTTTGTTGATTCTCAGAACTGGTGGCCGTAACAATGTGTGTTTGGTGATGCTGCACTCATTGGCCGTAGCGGAAGTGAACCTGGCCAGTTTCACCCAATGTCTGGGTGGCATGAAATCATCGACTCTCGGTCCCTAAGGAGTAAAGTAAACAATCTTCTAAACCCTCTCTCATAGGGAATACGGAGAGCGACACTTGAACATATGCACATTTTGGGAAAATATTGCTCGATGAGCTCCACGGCTGACACTGGCATTGAAGAGTCCATTGGACTCGAGATATCAAGTCATGACTTGTCACCTTCGACCACAAGCAGACGACAACGTCCAGCCCACCCAAAAACGTAGCTACGATAACAAGTCGTACTAAGATACATTAGATATTACCGCCTACTACTATCCTTCGATAGCGACAGCATCACCAGCCAGCTATTCGCGCCACTGCTGTGCGCCAGCATCATGGTATTCATCAATCAAAGCCCATACCCACCAAAGGCCCCAAACCCAATAACAGCCCGCGGACCCTCCCTAAGACGCCGAACCTCACTGTCCCCATCAAACCCGACAGAACCAGAGCTCTCGAGGCTCAGCCGGCTGCCGGCGAACTGCAGCTCCCGCATGATCGGCTCGACGGTGTGCATCCCGCTGTAATACGCCCTCCCGCCGCTCTCGTCCGGTGCGGCATACGTGGCCAGGCTGACCTCGCTGCGGCTCTCGTGTCTGGCCAGTGCGCCGCTGAACCGTGACGAAGATGGCGGAGACACCCCGCGGCGCCGCCGGCCCAGCTCGAGCGAGAGCCCGTGGATGTGCGAGTCGATGCGCTCGTTGAGCCGCTCCATGCGCTTGATGCGCTCCAATTCCACGTCGACCTCACCCTGCAGGCGCTGCGGGACAGGCGGATGGTCGTTGCTGGCGGCAGGTGCCCTGGAGACCGTGCCCATGGAACTCGTGCGGGCCCCGCTACTGTCGATCATCGTTGTGGTCCCCGACAGTGTCCTCGCCTGCGGTGGCTTTTGAACGTCTGCCGTCTGTGACCGCCGGTGGCGGCTGTGACTGCGAGTGCGTCGCCCGTCGGCGGCACGCTCGTAGTCGTCGACGCGGTGCCCTAGGTCGGGGTGGTCGTCGAGGAGGTAGAGACGGCGGGATCGCTCGGAAACGCCGGTGTTGGCCCTTGAACGGTCGGTGGGCACGAAAGGATGGCGCATGATTTCCTCGTCGCTTTCGAAAGAATCGTCCCCGGGAATATATCTCCTGCGTGTGCTCGGTCCAGCTTCCTCATCGTCATATCTGCCGCCAAATCGGCTCTGCCTGCCGTCAGTGTGGTAGCTCGTCTCCGGCCTTCTCGCGGTCTTGACACTTGGGCCCTCGGCCTGTCGGTCATCCTCTTTACCCTTGTTCATAGCCAGGTGTCCAAGCGTCTGGCTCATGTCCTTCAACAGGGGTAACATTGATGTCAGCCAGTATTCACCATTTCTCTCCAGCCTCTCCAGACGCTTCTCCATATCCCGAGTCTGCTTCTCGCGAAGTGCTTCGTACCGATCGAAGATCTCGGACCGAGACATCTTCAGAACGGATGTGCTGGCCTCGCCCTGCTCAGGAGATGCGGGGCTCAGTCGACCTCCGTCGAAGTCTTTCCTGGAGGCCAGGCGGCCCTTGCCGGCCGTCTTCGGTCTAGGTGTACTTTCTTGCATGCTCGGCGATACTCTTCCAGAAAGAGCAGGCGACTGTCGACCGGGAATCGACGGGCGCCGGCGCAGAGAGCCGAGACGCTTAAGAGGTGGGTGTTTGAGTGCGGTGGCCTGCGTTTGAGTCTCTAGGGATGAGATTGGTGACGAGGATGAGCGCGATCGCGGAGGTGAATCTGGCGGCGTCACACTGCCGAGGCCATGGAACGGCGGTACAGGCGAGGTCATGACGACAGTGGCCACGGTTCCTGGGGACGAGATTGAGAGTGGTAGCGAGTTCTTCTTCTCGATTCCCAGCACAGGAGATGCCATCAGAGGACTGGACGGTTTGACATCCGCAACTGTCATGACAGCGCTGAGACCAAAGCGGCCGGTTGTCGTCTTCAAACTGTACGGGTTGTTCTCTGGCACAACAGGAACGTGAACATATATATCCTTCGGATCGGACTTGACCTCCTTCTCCGTCGAATTGGAGCTCCCATCAGACGAGACACTGAGCCTGCGCCATACCAAATCTTTTGGCTCCGAGCCAGGCATATCCAGTGCCCTCTTCAGTTCAGCAATCCTCTGTGACCTGGTCAGAATCGTTGACTTCTTCCGCTCTTTTCGCTGCTTGGGGCTCGGTAATGGGCTCTGAGCCGTCTCCTCTTTCTGTGTCTTTGCGTCGGACTTCGGGTCATCCTCCTTGGCGGCCTCCAGCGCAGGACTGACCGCCTTCTCTTTTCCTTTGCCCTTAGGGTCTTTCTCCGCGGGAAACTCCGGCATTGGGCTTTCCTGAAGCACCTGCTCTTTCTCTTTGCCCTTGCCTGTGCTCTCCTGTTCCAGACCTTCACTGGATTGCTCTCGAGCTGCCGAACTTTCCTTATCTTTGCTCTTAACCTCTTCGCGCGGAAATGTGGCGTCGGTCGGGGTCTCCACGACGATCTCCACAGACTTTATTCGCGGGCGCGGCTGTGTCGTGATGCTTTCGTCGACTTTCTTGACTTCAGGATTGAACAGCAGTGTAGCTGTTGAGTTTCTGGCCTTTGCAAAGGCCTCATACTCATCCTCCTCCTCTATTGGAAGACTACTCCTCTTGCTACTCCCCTTGCTGCTCCTCTTGCTACTCCTCTTACTATGCCCGCTCGAACGTTTGCTTTCCTGACCGCTGCTGCGCTTCTTCTCCTTGGCGGCAGCTGCCCTTGCATTTTCCCTGCCACTTGCCTCTCCCGCCTCAAGGCTCGTCCTCGGTGGTGTGTCGACGATTTCTGCTGAGCCAGAGAATCTTTTCGCTCTCCTCGCCTCCTTGATGACGCCCAGCTCGACCTCCGAGCCGCTCGCTACCGTGCCGTAACTCTCCAAGAACGATGGCTCCGAGAAAATGGACTCCTGAAGCGTGTACTGGTCTCTCGAAGAGTCACGGCTGTGCTCATGCTGAGCACGCTGGTCAGAATCGCTCCGTGCTCTTGATCGCCTGTTTTCAGGGCCTTGAGGGTGGAGGCTAGACTTTCGCATCGGGTACGATACCTTGGAGGCCGGGGAAGCCGAGGCGAATGAGCGGAAACTGTAGCCGGACTGGCCGCTGATGGGCCTTGGGGCGGTTTTCGGCCTCTGTAATGCTGCGAGCGCCTGCCTGTGCATTGATTCACGCGTCTCGTCGCTGGTGCGTGGTGACCAGGACTCGTCGCTGATGCGCCGCGGCGTCTTCGGTGGTGACATCGAGCTCGTGTTTGGTCTGCTAAGCTCTTCCTGAACTGTGCCAAATGTGTGTCTCGATGCCAGTCGGACCTTGCGCGCTTCATCGAGGCCTCCTTGGCTCGACCTCTCCCACGACCTCGACGAAAGCGATTCTCGCTCTTCAGCCACTGGGCCCAATTGCGTGCCTATGTGTGGCTCGTTGACAAAAGCGGTCATTGGTCTGATATTGACATCGCTGTAGAAAGCCGGGTTCAACTCGACCACAGGCATGGACTTCGTCCTCCTCTCTGCCCTGGGGAACCTGAGCCGCGGCTCTGGACCCAGGTGAGCATGCTCGATAGGTATAGAAATGGCTATATGTCGATGTCCATCGACGGTTCTGCCCGAGATGGCTGAATCCGGGAGCTTGATACGCGGAGGCCGCTTCTTGTACTTGCGAGCTGGAGAACGGGTGATAGGTGGTGAGGCTGGCCTGACCGATGGCTTGACCGATGGCTTCCTCAAAACCTTCTTCTGTCTGGAAGCACCCCTTAAGAACGACAGGCAGCGCCTCAGGGTCCCTTTCTTCTTCTTGATATTCCTCCGTCTGATACTTGACCTAGATGAGACCGTGGTAGGCGAATAGGGCTCTGACGGTACTGACATGAAATTTGTCGGTGGTGGCGTCACATTCCGCAAAAACGCGGCCATCTCGCCCCACGCCTCATCCTCACCCTCGGAGGTCCGCCTGCGTTCTCCTGGGATCCCACGGGGGAACGGGCGTGATTGGGGGCGGGCAACCGCGTCACCCCGGGGCTCAGGGAGCTCTTTGGACTCGACACGGATGTCGATACGGCGGAGGATGCCACCAGGCCAGTTCGAGCTCAGCGCCGTGGCGGGAGTGAGCTGCGAGGTGGTCATGGGACGGGTGATGCCGCTGTTGGCGACGCCCAGGCCGCTGTTGGTTCGGGACTCTGCTGCCGTGGCGAAGGAGTTCTCATCCGAGTCCAGCGAGCTGAGGGATATGCGCCTATCCTCGGCAGGAGCGGTGTGGCCATGTGCGTCCAGCTCGTATATGTACATGGTGTCGAGACGGTCAGGACGGATGCATAACTCCAGACACAGGAGGGAGAGAGACGCAAGTTCCGGTGCTACCTGTGAAACGAAACTCGGGGTATCAAAAGATGGCACGAGTTTAGAGTTTCGTCCCGTGTTGTCTGGTCTCGATCCTCACGAAAGCCCCACGCACGTGGCTGCCGGATCGACAAACTTTTCCTTGCCGCTAAGTTGGTAGATCTGGAACACAAACGGTCTGAATTGAGATACTGCGTAAAGGTAGGCTGGCGGAGAAGCTGGCGGTCTACGCCGGGTCAGAGGCAGCAGAAGAAAGGAAAGAAAACAAGGTCGGCTGAGTGGCAGAATCAAGAGGAGGCGCGGACGCGGACAGCTCGAGTCATCTCGCTGATAGACTAGGTTTTGCCGTTCGGCTCTGGAGTGCGATTAGGAAAGAAAGGGAGAATACGACCTCGGTCCACGAAGGCAACGGCAAAGGGAGAGAGGAGGCTTTTGGGGGATTGGAAGTGCCTGATAGCGATTAAGTTAAGCGCAAGACAACCTCGCAGCAAGTGCGTGAGGGCGGGAACAAAACAGGTCGAGGCGGCGAGGGAGCAAGAGACCTTGACCATGCGCAGGATTCACAGATGACGGCAGCGAGATCTACTTTAGCATGAAAGTATGAAGGTGTCAACGGACCAAGCTAAAACAATCAGTGGGAGGAAACAAACCAGTGAATGGCCAAGGGTCCATGGGGTCTTGTCTGTGTGCTACGTTGGCGATGGCGAAACGCAAATCGCAAGGTCCTCCACGGGCTGCTTTCCAAGACATGGCATCCATGACATCGGCGAGTCGCACCAGGTCCCCACCTTGATGAATCAATAGACTCTGCCCATATGCTCCTGCACATGCAGTGTTTCTCTCTCCCCAGTTCCGAGGGCATTCCAGACGGACGGGATTGAAGAAAGCAAGCCCAGGAACAGGAACAGGAAAAGGCTGACCCCATTGGTGGCTAGCTGCAAACCGTGCTAGCTAGTGTCTGGTCCCGGTCTGGACTTGAGGGTTTGACGTTTGAGAGTGTGGAGGAGGAGAAGGGCAGGCAGGAAAAGAGGTGGTGCCGCGGTGCACAGCACACACGAGGTCGAACCGGAGCCGACATCGAAACACCCCTGCAGCATGTTTCAGGGGCAATGCCCGTTGGGTCTAAGCAGCATGGGCGGCGCCGTAGCATCGGAGAGTGGGGAGACAGGGACGCTCACACACTCTTCAGCTGCGCGCCATCCGGGGGTCGAAGCCGTCCAAGCGTGGAAGCGTCATGTCGAAGAGAGAAGAAGCCTCGTTCCCAAGATTTCCGGGTTCCGGGTTCACGTCTTTTTGCCTCCATCATGCCGGCGACCCTGAGCAGGAGTCCCAGCCGGGTGTGCCGGGACACGTCGGCGATTGGATGGGTCGATACCGTAGTCGCACAATTATTACATTGCTGTCCTGGTGTGCCCACCCCCAAGTCCTGTCCGCTGCGCTCTTCCAAGGTTCTTGAGCGCATCGTCACCGCCGCTCGGACGAACAAGCGACAAGGCATCCGCATTGCACAGCATTCCGCCCCTCCGTTGGGCCACACCGAGGTGGTCTGGGTGTCCGATCCCTGCCCTCTGACGAATCGCCAAACTCAGTCATGACACAGCTGCAGGCTCTGCTTCAGAAGCTGTGTGGCTGCTGATCATTGATGATATGACAGATGATGAGCCAGGCCGTCGGGTGGAGTTCTCGAGGGTCGGAGCACCGGGCATCAGTGACTGTGACAGTGACACCTTGACGTCCTGACATTTGACATTTGAATGCTTCGGTGACGATTCTCCAATGTAACTGGCAATCGGTGACACCCAGACAGCCGACCCAGCACTGCTCCCGTTGACTGGGGCCCTGGGAGGATTCTGGCACCTGACATCTGGATGGGCAGGTTGCATCCCGCCTGCCAACCAGCAACGCATCCTTGCCCGCCCGCTGCCCGTTTCGAAAGGACATGGGGGGAGGACGCAATGTTTCGTCTTTTTATACAAGACGAACGACGTGTCACAAACGACGAACCTCACCACACCTCGCCCACCCTCACCACCACCAATACCAGCACCACCAGCTCCAATAGCACCACAAAATATGATTGTGGAGCCCATGCAACGCAACGCAGGGGCTGTTCACCAATATTCCCGGACACATGCCTCCTCTTCTTTTTCGTGTGTGTATGGGCTCCCGCCCCGAGCTCTGCTGTCTGATCTCTACAGTGTTACCGTCTTACCCAGTCCCGAAGTCCCCATGCCCTCGGGTCTCCACGTGCTCATGTCCCTATTTAGATCCAACCGACAAGGTCCCCAGATCTGTGTCGGAAACAATCCCGCAGCCGCCGCTTCCTCAGAATAACAAAGCTATCAAACCATGATACCAACGCCATTAGACGATGCTCCACCCTTTAGCTGGCCCCGTGAGCCCACCATCAAAAGCAGTCAAGTCATGTTTTCAACCCATCTTCTGTGCCAGACGCCTATGTAGTGCAAACGTGTGAAAATGTATATGACTGAGGGAAAATGTGACGTAAGACAAACTTCAAGGCCTCTTCGGCTTCCGCTGAATAAAAGGGTCCTTCTTCTTCTTTGGTGGCCTTGGGCCCTTGGAGCAGTTAGCTTGGCCCTGACAACAGTTTGGCATGCATAATCACTTACTCGAGGTGGTGCGTTCGACGGTCCCGCCGTCGGTGCCGGCGGCCTCGATGATTGCGCCGGGTTTGCCGGAGGTGGCGGGGGTCTTGAAGGAGGCGCAAGCCCCAACACCTCCATGGCCGACGGGTCCACAGGTTTCGGCGGCGGCTTAGGCCTGGTTGGTGCGGGCGGTACTATTGCTGCTTTGGGACCAGTTGGGATTGGACGGTTACTCGCTGAAGAGTGATTCTGCTTTGTTGAGAAAGTTGTGAATTAGTATCAAGTGACTAGTTGGAACCATCATCCCAGTCATCCTCGTCAGAGAAGCTATGTTGCTGTCCTGTGTCCTCAACGGACCTCTTGGTTGCAACAGAGAGCAAATCAGTCGATAATGCTGGGTTAGAATGGGCGTAACCTACTGGGCGCTTCGGTGCCGGAGACTGGTTGTCATCTCCTTCAAGCGGCCTCTTCTTTGAATCTCCGATCTGAGGAGGGCCTTGACCTCTCACTGGCTGTGGAATGTTCTCCCCCTTCGCATTGAATCCGCCGATGGACTGAGGTGGCGGTGCTAGGCCTCTTGATGGCATCTCTGATTTGATCGCGATTGCAGGCGCGTCTTTCATCTCTGCTTTGATCGCAATTGCAGGCGCATCCTTCATCTCTGTGTCGGATGATTTGCGGTCCCCCAAGCCATTCTCGACTCGCGGTACCCTCTCGCTCTTCTTCCTTAGCAATGACAGCACATCGCCCCGAGTGTAGCGATCCCTTTCTTTGGCATCGTTGATAAGCTTAGCCCAGAACTCGCCCTGCTTCAATGCTCTTGAGTCACCAAGAATCCAAAGCGATGACTTTGCACGTGTCAGGCCGACGTTCATACGCCTGATGTCAGTCATGAAACCAATACCTCCCGTCGGGCTAGCTCGGACACAGGAGAAGATGATGATCTCGCACTCTCGACCTTGGAACGCGTCGGTTGTGTTGAATTCGACCTCGTCGAAGATCCCCTCACCGAAGCGATTGGCGAAACGATCCCGAAGTGCGAAGAGTTGTGCCTTGTAAGGAGTAATTATGCCAACTTTTCCCTTGACATCACAATCGGCATAGTCAACCTTAAAGCGAGTATACAGCTGCATGGCAACCTCGAGCTCATTCGTGTTGACCAAAGATTGGCCTTTGCGGCCGCGCTCTTGAACACCTTCAACGTCAAAGAAGCGATAAGGGCCCAGCAATTTGCTCTCATGCCACTTCTGCTTGCGGAGAGACCCCATGTCAATTCCATCGTAGAGTTTGCCCTCATAGAATTGGGCACTGGGATACGCGCTGATCTCCGGGTGCATTCGGTACTGGGTATCGAGTAGATGGCAGTCTTTAGGGTGGTTTCTTTGCATGCGCACGAACAAACTCTGATCGTAACCAAACCGAGCTGCAGATTGGGAAAGGACGGTGGGCGGCAATTGCTTAGGATCTCCGACGAGGATACACTTGGTGCATCCATACTTCAGCGGGATGAGAGCACTGAGTTCCACACACTGTGCGGCCTCGTCGATGATGACTGTCTCGAATTCCACATTCAAGTTCTTGAACATCTCATGACCACTGCCGCTGAGCGTTGCACACAGCACCTGCGCCGAATCCAAAATCTGCTGCTGGACTACTCTGCGCCTGACCTCGCTTTCTCGGACGTACGTGTTGCCACTGTCCTTGTCGGCGTCAATCTTGGCGCCAATCTGGGCCTGGCGACGTTTCAAGACATCAAATTGACGCTCCAAGGTGCTCTGAGCGTCCCTATCACTGCTGGCCCTGGCAGCCTCGAGCCTGGGCCGTAGATCGTTAAGCTGCATTTTGATCTCCCCAGCCTCCTGGTGCATTTTATCGCGTTCGCTGCCAACTGGACCGTTCTTGTTGAGCTCCGATTCCATCTTGGATTTGACGAGCTCATCGAGGGTCACATCCTTGACGAGTGTGTTGATCGCATCGGACCTGCCGAGTCGAAGGACACTGATGTTGTGGTGGGCGCCGTTCATCGTCTTTACGCCTTGTTTCAATCGTAGAACCAATTCGTCAACAGCCGCGTTGCTAGGAGCACACACCAATAGCTTCTTCATCGGAGGAGGCTGGTTTGCCTGGTTTCCTAGCTCGTGCGGTCGAGTAACAGGGACAGCAGCAGCATGCCTGGTGCTCATGTGTCCGGTGAGCAATGCACCAACCATGGCGACAATAGTCTTCGTTTTACCCGTTCCAGGAGGACCTTGAACGAGAGTGAAGCCGTCGTTGTCTTTGGCGTTCATGATAGCCTTTGCCTGGGCGCGGTTCAAGAAGTAGTTTTTCATCACCGAATCAATAGCTTCATCTCCGTAATTGAGAACTGGGGAAGGCTTTGCCTCTAAGACTTCGTCCAAAAGGTCGTAGTATTGCAAACTCTCCAATGCCGCGTATTCGCGCTCGACTGTCGTCATGTTGGTGATCTTGACGGCAGTGAACTGTGCCCCTGGCTGCAATTCTGGCATCTTGTTGTTCCTGCTGAGGCGGTAGGCCACTTCGAGGTTGTCTTTTTTGTATGTCATCTTCCATATGCGAGCCAAACAATGAGCGGCATCTTTCTGGTTGAGCGGGTCCTCTGACTGTGATATTATCACGATGTCTCCTTCACTTAACCCCCGTTCCTTGTTCTGTGCTTTGGGCATTGAAGTCGTGACCTCCATGAACTTATCGACCGTCATGCGGTTCATCACCTTGATGCCAAACGGCTTCGACGTCGTTTCATCCTTTGCCGTCACAAAAGAGCGCCATGCTTCATTCCGCAGGAGAGGAAAGAAGGTCGATTTGTAGTCATGATGAGTCATGTATGTGTTTGCAACCTCGAGGCACACATCTCCATTCGGTGGGTCATTGCCTTCGTGGAAGATGTCCCACTCGAGGATGGACTGGTGCAGAACGTCCATGGGTGGTATGATCCGTGCCCGCATATCTTTGGCACTTCGCTTCACCTTCTCCTTCTTCAATGGGCCCATCCTCTTGGCCGCCAGCTGAAGTGCACGCTGTTTTGCGTCATGATCCAGCTTGTTACCATCTTTGCTGGTGACCAGGTCATCATCATCCGAGGACTCGTCATCTTCTTCTGAGCTGTCTACCATCATATCGCTCTTCGGCTGCGGGCCATGATCTTTGCCTATGACCCCTGAGACGCCTCTCAAGCCAGATCCTTCTCCAGGCACCACACGCAGAGCCTTGGCTTCGGCAATGGCGGCGGCTTTCCGCTCAGCCTTTTCGGCCTGTGCCCGCCTTCGATCCTCGAGGAACTTAGATTGACTGACTTTGGTTGGCTCGGGTCTTAGTAGCTTTGGCTTCGTCTTTTCGCTCAAGCGCAATTTTTCGAGTTTGCTGGAGGATGGCTTGATGTCTCGGCTCGTGGAGACAGGTGTGGTGCTGCCAGATCGAGACAGCGGAGTGGTGGCACCAGATTTTGACCATGCATCGAGACTGATCTGTTTCTTTGGCTTCTCGACGACCTTCGACACGGTCGGAATTTGTTCGTCTTCCCCAATTGCCTTCAGAAGCTCAGCTTTCTGCGTTCCAGTCAAATTGCTGTTGATTGCGTATTTGCCGTCTTCCCTTGGTAGACACGCTTGCCGAATAAGCATCTTACTTTTGGTATCTACGTCAAGCCCATACTGAGCCAGACGACTAAGAAGCTTGAGCAGTGTCCGCACAGTCGTGTCTAACAAGTAAATATCACGCAGCTTAATCATGTTCGTTATCCCACCGGTGTTCAAACGTGGCTGCTCTAGGACGACCTTCATTGCCTCATTTCCCATGTTTTGAGCACTGAGCGCAGACGCGACGACGCCGTCCTGGTCGAGAAGCGCCTGGGCGAGCTCCATAGTCTGACGACAAAAAACTTCAAGGATTGCCTTGTCTATTTGCTCGTTCCACACTCGGAGTTGAAGGAAAGCATGCTGCATTCCTTCCCACTGGGTCGTCCACCATGACATGACAGCAGTGTACTCGATGCCCGATAGTGTTCTCGACCTAAGCAATCCAGAAGTATCGCAAAGGGCACCGACTAGGTCCCGGCTGCAAGTCAAAACATGGGGCATCGGCGGAAATGGTTTCATCGAATCCTTGTCGTATGTGACGCCCCGGACGACGTCGGAGAAGGTCGACAGAAATGGCTGGAAATAGTCCTGGGCCATCTGTGCTACGGCATCCGATCTCGTTGTTTCGCTCGTGATCGTCTTGATCAGAGATATACCAGCCTCGCGAATAGGATCCTCAGTATGCACAAGAGATGCAACAATGGCATACATCATACCACTTTGTTGATCACTGCAAAGAGCCTCAAGATCTGCAAATGCAAAGCCGCTGAGGCGCTCCATCATGCGACCAACGGCTTCCGCCGTCTGGTCCAGGTCCTGGTTGAACAGCTTCTTTTCGGGATCCTTCAAAACCTCTTTCTTTGGGGGCAAAAGCTTTCCTATGCCGTTGAGCGGGTGCATTGCATACAGCATGGACTTTGCGATGTCGACGGTGCCGGGCCGACCAGGCCAGAAGATCTCGAGGAATCTGTCCCAGAGCTGAGCGGAATGCCTGGGATTGGTTCTGGGTATCTTGACATTTCCGCGCATCAGTGTCATCCACTCCGTACGAGTCGTCTTCGAGTCGAGGACAAGAGATGTCTTGATGACGTCGACGGCTGTTTGCGATAACCCTACGTTGAATCGGTCTTCCGGTCGCAGTTCTGCGGCAGGATTGATGACGCTGGACGCATATTGAACGACGAGGTTGATGAGGGAATTAATGTATATAATGGATGTGCCCATGCGAATTTGGAAGGTGCCACCATTGAAGCTGTCGAGCGATGTTTTCAAGGCGTACAAGCCAGCGATGGTTCGAGTCACCTGTGCCTCTCTTGAAGCATCTAAATCGGGGTGAGCAGAGAAAAGATGGTCTGTGAGAGACTTGCAAACGTCTGGCAACTCGTGCTGCTGGAGCGATCCAATAACAGTCCTGACCCATATGGCGAGAAAGGGGACACGAGTGTGCCCGTCTGCAACAAGTCTATCATACTCCAAAGACCGTGAGAGCAACTGCTTGAAAGCTGGGTTCATGAAGACAAATTGGGCAAGCTGGGCTCGTGGAAGCTCTAACGCACCCCAAAACGCTTTGGGTGACTTTTGTAGAAGTGCAGCGATCGCCTGCAGGACAAGCAGCAAGATTTGATCTGAGTGGCAGAACTGAAGATGGTGAATGGCAAGCTGATAAACGTCTGCCTCCATGCCCCGAAGGCAATGCACCACGATCTCTTCGCTCATAGAGTTCAAAAGCAGGAGAAACCCTTCCCAAAAGACCTTGACCTTATTCTGGGAGACGCGCAAGGTTCCCGATTCTGGGTCTACCGCACCTACTTCTCGGATAGCGTTTGTGAGTGACTCACTAACTGCAAAGTCGAATTCCTCTTCTGTAAGACACTCAGGATTGAGGACCTCCCAGGCCGACTTGGCAAACCGGTTGCGATACGGATCCTCCTCGAAAAGGAAAAAGGCCATGGTCGGCACAACCTGTTCTCCCAATTTCAGTGGTTTACGAGTTTGAACGTCCTGAAACACCTTATTGAAGTAGCGTTGCCGAGTCTGGGGCTCTCCAACATAGGCCATGCAACACAAGGCCTCGAACAGAGCCACAATGGCATTCATGTCCTGGTGAGCGAGTTTGGCCGAAGTCATCGGTCCGTTCGCCTCGAGGATAGCGGCCGCCTTTTGGAGCCCTCGGTCTATCCGAGACTTGTCGAACTCGTTCAATTTGTTCTCCATGATGGTGGCAACATCTTCGTCAAAAGAGCTGTTGGCTGTGGTCAGTGATTATTCCTCGCCTCCGTCAAAAGCCACTTACCCTTGCAATTTCTCGAAGAATTTCTTTCGGTGCATATGCCAGCGCAACACACAGGCATCGCATTTTGTCAGGAAAGATTCAGTCCGCTCGACCCATTGCTCTTTCCAGCCGCTGGACTGCTCCTCCGTGATTCCCAACAAGAGACTGAGGTCATAGGTGAGCTCGACGCGACGTCTGGCCTCCTGGGTTCTTCGCTCTGTCTCCTCTGCGGTGACCTCAGTTGTACCAGCGCTGTACTCGTCTTCGGAATCGTCACTCTCTGTCTTAGGGCAAAGCAGATGATATTCTTCAGGTAGGTTGATCCACTCTTGGTAGGATTCTGTCACCCCCTCGTATAGCCTATTGGTGTCGTCCATGTTTCGAGCTTGTGGTAGTCATCGCGTTAAAGAAAGGGAATCGTATGAGGCAGCGGGCTCGAGGATGGTCGAGGAAAGAATGGGCCAGCTGTTGTGGGAGGACGTCTGGACTTCTGGGCGAAGTGAGTGTCTGCCAAGAACGGGACAGGATTCAGTCGCAACTGTTGGCCTGATACCGCGATTGAGAGCGGCGGAAGTGTGCTCAGAGTAAGCCGGCCACAAAGGGAAAGTAATCCTGCGAGAATCTTCGAGTGGAAGATGTCAGCATCCAGCGCCCTGGCATGCAAGTAATCGCTCTGCGTGGGTGGAACAAGTGAGCAGGCGTAGAACACAGGAAACTGCCAACCTCAACTTCCCCAACTACTAGCAGGCTGGTAGTGCTTCGTTGTGGAAAGAGAGAGGTCTTGAAAGGGCAGGCAAAAAAGTTTCGAGGCAGTGGTGAAGTGAAGCTTCGACTCGAGGGCGTTGGTGTCGAGGACTGAATGGGTTAAAAGTTAGGTGCCGTTAGAGGGAGTCGCGTACCTAGGAAAGCCTACTCGCGCGTCACCAATTTAGCAATTGTCGGAAATCCCACCTGGACTCCCTGCACGCGCTTCACTGGGCTGCCGGCTGTACTATGTTAGAGTGGGGCCCACTTTCTGGGTGGAGCTTACCCAGACTTAAGCTTCAAATGGGACAGATGTACCTCGGTACCACAGACAGCGAGCAGGTACCTGGATAGAAAGCTTACACCTCAGCCTCCCACTTTGCAAGTGGGCGACGGAAAGGCTCAAAAGAGCAGCTGACTCACCGGTTTGCTTCAACCTCGGATGAATGCAACAAAACACGGCGTTAGCTCTCGGACTGTCTCGGGAGTGGTGAGCTTTGGTCTTGCGGCCAGGGAGCCGGGTGTAGCTGGTGTCCAAAGGGAATATTGTGGTGGGATGATTGTGAATGCTCTCACTTTGTGTGCTCATGTAGTTGGTCATGGCCGCGAGTAATTGTGGCTGATGAAAGATGGTGAAAGGGTGGGCGACTGTCAATGGTCAAAAGGGTGCAGAACACGACTTCAACGTTGTCTAGTATGGCATTTGAAGTCACAATACTCGACCTACAACGAATATGGTACTGACAGATTTTATGCAGAAGCCGCCTTTCCCATCAAGTACTGCCAGGCACGGTTGAACTACTCGTTTCCTTGAGCAGATTTATTATTCCTATACTCTGCAAGAGATTGCCATGGATCTACTTAATACAGCCTATACCTCCAAAGCAGATAGATGAATTCATCACACTAAACCGGATAGGATAAACATTACAGACCAAGAGGAGACTTTCCAAAACTGGTCTTCTACCACAGTCATATCGTCGTCTGACAGCTTGTCGATGCAGTGCTATACAATCGTCTGGGGCGTGCCGAAGCTGCCCCCACGCCACAGCCGTGACGGTGATTGGCTGCAGGCTGGGCCGGCCCACTTCTTTGCAACCTCATAAAACCACAGCTGCTTCTAAATTTTCTGTAGGTCGTCCTCTCACCACAACTTGCACAATCAATACTGCACGCATCGGTGTCACATATGGACCGAGAAATGTGCACCTGAGACTCTGTCTCTGACTGCCAATCCAGTCTTCAAAGGCCATCGCTAATTCCAGTAAGTCAGCTGCTTACCCTCCAGTCATTCCTCTACCCTCCAAACACCTCCCTTCCTCTACATGATGATCAACCTTTATATAATGGACGACTTCCTAGCCAAAATGTGCGGAAGAACAGGTACCTGTCTGATTGAGAAGCCACCCGTTCCGATATTTCATCATTTTACTTCACACTGGAACCGCAAGCTAACTTGCTCGCAAGATCAACGTAGACTGCACACAATGCCATGTTGAAATAGTGGCATGGCTTCGCTTATGGTCCATACTTTGCGAGGAGATGTGGCCTACGCTATATGAAACCGAGCCTCAAAGATAGAGTTGACACGACCTTCTTTAGGTCCCTCCTTGCTTGGTCAAGTGGCCGGTAGAAGGGTCGATGCGGTTTTGGTCGTCTCCGTATGGTTCGCCCTGACTGAGGGTCAGAGCACTTGAGGAAGAACATACAACGATAGCCAAAACTAAGTACTGCTGAATAGCCCTCAATTCGTTCTCATTTCTTCTTGATCATAACTGGAACCCTTGTGCATTGCATTAGCTCTTTGTACAAATGATTTTCAACATCTGGATGAACAATTCATTGCTGGAGATTTGATGCCTCTGCTTTGGAACACTCTGCCCCTTGACAATATTTCGCATGGAGGACTCATTTTGCAGCAGTGGTGCCATATTAATTCAAAAATCAAGACCTTTAATTCTCTCCTAGGAAAGTATTTCATCCACACCTCCCATAGCCTGAAGGCCTAAGATCTTCCATTGAAGAAGTTTGTTCTCTCTCATGGCCATTGTGGCCCGTGCCCACCCTAGCTGGTGCAGACCAGAGGCAGGAGCCCCCATCACCTCCTTCCTGTTCACTACCTCAGCTTTCGTAGGCAATTTCCAAACTCATCTTTCACACTCTCATTTTCTTGTGGCAACCTTCGTCTTCTACTTCACAAGCTGTCTGAGACTCCTGAACTGCGCACCAACTCTTGTCCGTCACAAACCAACCCAGCAGTAAGTACACCCGAAACGGCTCCGTTCAACTCTCTGCCATCGGTGCTGTTCCATTTCTTACAGCCACCTTGGAGCTACCAGCTCGTTCCTCTCTGGTTTGAGTCGCGCTTGAAGCCTGGGCTGATTTGAGCACCGGAGTCACTGAACATCCCTATTCACGTCCTTTTTTCAACTTCACCCCTGTCCATGCCGTTTATTTGGATCGCATCAAAGGTTTCCACTAGAACCTTTTCCTACTTGAAGCTCTCTGCTGTGTTAAAACGACATCGTTCACTTTCACTCTTTGTATGAGAATGTTGACGTCTTTTGAAAATTTACTGACCAAGGGAAAGAAACCCATCCTCATTGCAAGATGCCAGCTAAAAGAAAGACCAAACGGGGAGCGCGTGCCACCAAAGCATCTCGAGTACCCAAGTCAGGAGGATGGACACTTCCTCATGGTCTTGCGCTTCCAGAACAAGCGCCAGCGCAACTTCAGAATGTCGAGAACACCCACGAAGAGCCAGCACAGAAGCAATTGAACTTCCAAACCACCAAAGCCCTGACTCAGCCCGACAAAGCCAAGACCAGTACCGACCATGAGACCGCACATGCAATAGAAAAGGAGGGTATCACGATAGCCAGTGAGGTGCCTAACGAAGACCTGTCAAAACCCTCTGATACGGAAGAGACAAAAGACAGTTACTACATTGCCACAAGGATTTATGATGGTGAAGAGGTGGAGCGCATACGGATGAAAACTTCGGTCAAGGATCGGACTCCATATGAGAAGAAAGTACTTGTTCCTTACAAGACAACTCCATTCCCAAAATTCCAGGGCCCATCCGCGGAGGACTGCGCAAAGGTTCACTCGCTTCTTGTCAAGGAGCATGGACCCTGTCCACAGCCCGCAGAGATTCCGCCTCCAAGCCTGAAGGTTGCAGGATGTGGACAGGTCAGGCAGGTCTGTGATGCGCTTCTACGCACAGTCCTTAGCACAAACACCCAATTCGACAACGCGGACAAGGCAGTCCAGGGCCTTCACCAGGTTATCGGAACTGTCACTGACAACCTGCAATTGGACTCAGAGGAATTCCCAGGACTGAAGGATTGCTTAGACTACAGCCGTATCCGTTCTCTCCCTCTCAAGGCAGTACAACAGGCAATCGAGAAAGGTGGCAACCACATTGAGAAGGGCATCAATATCAAAGCCACAGTAGATCAGATCTACAATATTAATGCTGAACGTGCGAAGTCATTCCGGGAGGAGACAGCGGAGAACCCAGCCACAGTTGTTGCGGCAGACATGCTCTCTGAACAGCAGAAGCAACAGGAGATCTGGATGTTTGACAAAGGCATCCTTCATCTGGAATACCTGCGTGCTCTGCCAGAGAAGGATGCAATGAACGAGCTGATGGCATTCCGAGGTGTTGGAGTCAAGGTGGCGGCATGCATCCTTCTATTCTGCATGCAGAAGCCTGTCTTTGCAATCGACACACACTGCTTCCGGATGGCGAAGTGGCTGGGCTGGGTTCCGAGGGGCTTGAAGAAAGGTGGCGAGGATGAGGCCTTTGCGCACTTAGATGCCACGGTTCCCGACAACCTCAAGTACGACTTACACCAACAGTTCATTCGACATGGTCAATTCTGTTTGAAATGCAAGACGAACAGCAACGAAGGGTGGGCTGACTGGGAGAATACTGTCTGTCCTCTTGAGGATGTTCTTCAGAGGACAGGAAAAGAGAAGCCACTGCCGAAGCTAAAGACCGAGAAGTCAGCAAAAGAAGTGGACGATGAACCAGAGGAAGAAGTAGAGGTGTTGAAGGCGACTCTTCCCAAGAAGCGTGGTAGACAACCGAAGGAGGAGGACAGCGACTTCGAGGAGCCACCCAAGCGAGTTCGCAAGCAAAATAAGGCCGTTACGGAGCTGAGGCATTCACAGCGTCCAACTCGTTCAACTCGCAGCGGCACAAAGGCAACTAAGAAGAACGTTCCTGCGGAGGGAATAAAGGATGAAGCAGTGCATGGACTAGCAGAGGTTGACGTCGCAGAGGCCATGTTGAATCCAGTCATGCACCAGGAAATGATGTCAAAGACAGAAGCTGACGAGGATTCCTCTGAACTTTCCGAGCACAGCGACAACGAGTTCACTGAACTCAACTGATGAGAAGCACGGCTGCCCTCCAGACCCACAGCAAATCTTTGGTAACAGCGCTATTGAGTGTTGGCCGTGTGGCCATCCCTTTCTTTTCCCGGCAACGTCCAGGACTGAATACGGCAATTAGCGCACAAACATGTTCAAGAATTGGATTTGTGGGATGGTGTTTCAATATTTGGCATACAAGGTTGTGGATACTATGAATTTGGGGGTTGATTTGCTTTCAGAATCCATGAGACTCTTACACATCGTCACAACGCTGAGTCTCCTCAGGCCTAGGATTGTGCTTAGCCTTTTACCAGGGCATTCAGCCACGGTATAGATGATAATTACTGGCATCAAGAATGAATATGCTTGGGGACGCATTTCTCCCCTCGTCTATTTTTTTTCTCTTTTCCTGGGAAGGCGGCAGAGCAGGCGTTATCGGATTTCACAGGCAAGTGGAAGGATGCCAGCAGAGAGGGTGCGCATCATGATACCCACAGCTCCCCTCTACAGCAGGAGCAAGCATAGGACAGACTCCGAATTGAAATTTTGCTTTTGAGAAGTTTCTAGAATTCTCTTACTTGTGACATGAAACTCTTTGGCTCATGCAGTTGCTCCTACATGGTCTTTTCGTGCCCCAGGCTGACTTCGAGTACCACGGGTGAAGCACCACCAAGTCCACTACGGTATGCCTCGATAATCTCGTCTCACTATCTGGTGCATCTGGACCTTGCAAATGTGCTCTTGATGAAACTAGCATACAATGAACATCACTGGGTAAGACTTGAATGTGCATTTCCAACTTTTGCATCACTAGAGGCCATCACAGCCGCCCGATAATCCCTAAGAGCAGCGCCGTCAAAGACTCAGTAAATAATCACCAACAGACCTATGCTCACTACAGCGCATTACAGGACAAGAGTTGAAGTCCAAATTTCATATTGGTATTGATTGAAAAAGGGGGTATGTATCTATATGCAGGTAGGCAGGAAAATGCAGCCCGGGAAAATGCACCTTTCCTCCAGAACCCGTTCTCCCGGGTTCGCCTAGCCCATTTTCGTTCTTTGCTCTCCAGTACTAGGTAGGGTGTTTTTACTTAGGTATATAGATGCCGGTGCTGCGTTGTACTTCTTCTCCTCTCTGCCTTTCCCCCACCTCCACTCCTTGCGTTGAACTCATAGCGCAGCTCATGCATCCCCGTCTGCTTTGCTTGCTCCTTCTCCATCTTCCCTTTCTCTTCAGGTCTTATTTGTGTGGGGGAAAAGATCCCCTGCCCGCATATGCTCCCAAACGCCAGACCAAAACCAGCCTTTCGCGTGATTATCACCAAGAAGAAAAAACAGAAGACAATGAAGCAGAAATAGAGGAAGAGCAAAGCCATGTGGGAAAGCGCTGTCCTTTGAGTGGACTCGGTGTGGCGTTCGATGGCGCACTCAACAAACCGCCGAAGCAAAGAACTCGTAGATCGCTGATCATGCGAAGATCGTAAATGCATTGATTTGAAACATCGGGGATATCAACAGGGTGACAAGGGAATGGGAAACGCCGTTTTGTATAATACAACGGGTGTGATGACTTTGGTTGAGGGAGTGTGATTAGGTGAGTATTATTGTTTGCTTTTGTTCGAGATGATGGACATTCCTCGTAGTCTTGTCCTGTTGAGCAGACTGTTGCCCAGCTGGTGGTGGCCTGATTGGGAGGATTCCACGCGGCTGAGACGTGCTGCGGAGGTGAAGTCACTGCTTTGCTGGTAGCTTGGCCGCACACGGTCCATCGAGGCTCGGATCCTGTCGTAAGATGGCCTGGCCCGATCGATCGAGGGCCTGATTGGAATCGGGTCAGGAAGGTCTTCCACCGAAGTTGATCTTGGCGGTCCGTCCATCTCATGTCCGGTGAAATTCGTTCCGTCGCTGCCGTTTTGCGCCCGAGTATTGTGTGTTGCCACGGAAGGAGGATAGATAGGCCTCTTGTCCTCGTCCACACTGCCGTACTGCATGTGTTTCGACTTCTTCGAAGACCTCTGGCTTGATCCAGATGAAGAGCCCTCACGAGCTTCCTCTGCAGTTTCGGGTTTGATGAGTCGGTCAAACTTGCCCTGATTGACTTGCTCGCGCACAATGTCCACATCGTATGGATAGTACACCTTTTGCAGAGCTTTGATCGCGAAGCGAGGGAAGATACAGATGACCGGCGTGATGAAGTAGCATGCCCAGAAGGTGGCTTCGGCATAGACTTGAGGGGCAGCTTGGTAGAACGACCCTGAGTAGGTAGTCGAAGTGTACACGCCAGTCCAGAAGAAGATGAAGAGATCACTGATAACCACCACCAGGAGCATGATCCAGTCCCATCGATAGGTGTTGATGAGGATGTATAGGTTGATGGTGAGGACCGCCGGGTGGGCAATGTAGCAACCAAGACGGAGCCTATCCGAGACATCGAGACCGTTGAATGTAACGTAGTTGCTGTTGATCACGGTGAGGTAGGGGATGAAGAAGACCATGACGGACTGGTAGACGCCATCTAGCATATAGAGCCTGGTGCATTGTTAGATCTTGCTGATTTAGGACCAAGATTAGAAAGCAAACATACCAGAACTTTCGCTGTGTCCACTCCAACCGCTCGATACCTCGGCGGTACAGTTGTGGAACAGCCAGCGAGACCGTATCAGACACATCTTGGTCCAGCACTCCCATCAAAATGACGGGAACTGAGGTGAAGAAAAGGTTGAACAAGATGATGTAGGAGTAGTCGAAAATGTAGGTGATATCGAAATTACAGAACACCTGGAACCAGAAGATACTGAACGTCCAGATCATGTTCTTGTAGAAGAAGTTGCTGATTGTCTCCGCCAGGCGTCTGTACGACCATCGGCCATGAACTAGGACGAGTCTGCACAAGAAACGGAACTGACCAATGGCGTAGTCGGAAGACATCACGGCCTGGCGACCTTCTTCTCCAGCAATACCGACTCCAACATCGGCTTCTTGAATCATGGCAACATCATTGGCACCATCACCAATGGACAAAGTCATGACATCCAATCCGGTCTTCACCATGGACACCACGGCAGCTTTCTGAGCCGGACTGACACGACAGCAAAGCACTGACTTGCAGTTCTTGCAGAGAAGCAGGAACTTTTGCTTAAGATCCTTGTCCAACACCCATCTGAGGGTAAAACCATCGATGACCAGGGCGTGGGTGTCAGCTGGTGCTTTATGCTCCTTGCGGGCGGCTTTTAGATCCGCGTCGCTGCCGGTAATGCCGAACGTGCTCAGGTGTTGATCAAGGGCGGTCTCAACCTGGCGCAGGTATTCTTCTGGCGGAGTTTGGCCAGATTCGTCCTCGATGGTCTGCAAGCGGATCAACTCCATGTCGTTGTTAAGAAGGTTGCAAGAGAACCCGATGTTGATGGCAGTCTCGACCTTGTCGCCAGTCAAGACCCAGAGTTTGATACCCGCATCACCAAGCAGGGCAATGGTATCGGGCACACCGTCTTGTAGTCGATCCTCGATGGCTGTACCGCCAAGCAAGGTGAGTTCTTGTTCAATCTGATCAGCCACAACTTCGAGTTTCTCCTCGCGCTCCTCAAGCGCGGTTGCGGCAACTTGATGCTCCTTCAACCAGGTCTGATATTGTTGCTCTGTCAGATAACGCTTGGCGATGCAGAGAGTCCGCAAACCCTCTCGCGCAAACATCTCGAGGTGGTCTGCCGTCTCTTTGCGCAACTCTTGCTGCTCTCCTCGCTTGAGTCGGGAGTAAATGACACTGTCAGCGCCTTTGCAGTAGAGCACAATTCTGCCATCCGGCAAGCGCACAATAGCACTCATTCTCTTCCTGCTGGAATTGAATTCGATGGTGTTGAGAATTGGGTAGTGGCGGTCTTCGCCCAAGACGTTTACGTTGATGCCGTCGCCAGTGTGACCGAGGACAGTGAAGCCCATATCACGGGCAGTGGCGACCAAAGCAGCCTCGTCGGGAGACTGTGCCTTGAATTCCATCTTGGGCGGGTCCCCAGGCTGTTTCTCTGCAATGACTGTGTGGCACAAAGCCAGCGCCAGCATAAACTCCTCGTTTGCCTCTTTTTGCTCCGCACCATGCTTTCCAGACAAGTCTTCCACGAAATCGGGGGCGATGAATGTAAGATCCTCGTCATGCAGATAGGGATTTGGGTGCAACTGACGGAGCCCCTCCAATGCTTGCACTTTGGCCGCCGCAATCTCGGCCCTGATCTTGACGGCTTCCTTGTCAACGTCGACACCGAGTCGCTTCTGCATTCCAGCTTGCGCTTCCGTGTAGGCCTCGCCGTACGGCTGACCGTTGATGGTCGCCTTTTTGAATTCCATGACGTTTTGGGTGAGAGTACCCGTTTTGTCAGAGAAGATGTACTCTACCTGGCCCAAGTCATCGGAAATATTCCAGGACTTTGGAACGCAAGGCGCGTCGATTTTCTCGTAGTACATCTCCACATCGCTGTAAATGAAGATGGCCTGAAGCGTACGCACGATTTCCAGTGAGATATACAACGAAATCGGTACCAAGTTTTGAAACACGATGAGAGCCGCCCAGAAGGTGATGAAACCGGTCATGGATGGCGTTGAGCCGATGGAACCAAAATCGAAGTAGTACAACGATGAATCCGTGGTAGCCCAGGCAGCACCGTTGACGATGGCTGCGATGAGGCACATGACGAAGAGGATCACGAAGTTGCAAACGACATTAAAGTTGAGTTCCCTAGCAATCCTTGCTCGCTTGCTGGGAGTGATGCCGGCATTCATCATGATCTTGGTGTCGTGACCTGTGAAAAGGACCACACCGAGAACCCATTCCGTGTTTCGCAGATTGCAGCCACGGAGCAAGACGTTGTCGATAGTGATGGGTTCGGACATCTCGTGGTTCGTAGAGTCCGACACCTTTTGCTGCCACTTGATCGCACCGTTGTACTTGTACAGGTTGGCCTGCGGCGGCTCGCTGTCGATCATGAATTGTGCTCTCTCGCAATCCCTGGCGTGCTTCATGGACCGACCGCAGCGCAGGGCTTGACGCACCTTTAAGTTCGTCTCGCCATCCAGATTCTTCGTCTCGACGTAGCATGCGCCATCGGGGTCCGAGGTTGACAGGATAACAATATCTGCAGGAAGCTCGTCATCGCCGTATAACCGCACGAAGTCGCCGACAGCAAGATTTTTCCAGGCATCCTTGTGGAATCGAGCGTTGCCTGAGGCTGCGAGGTCATGATTAATGACGTCTCCCTTGATTGCGTCGAACTTGGCCTCGGCACCTCCCTCATAGGAGTAGCTGGTCGCCGGCCTTTGCACGTCCAAATGCCCGTTGTTCTCCTGAGGTGGTAAAGGAGAAGCCACAGGTGTCATCTGGATTTCCTCGGTGGCAGAGACGAATGATTGTCGAGCGGTCGAAGCAGCGTGGGTTACCCTCGTGTCCACGGATGCGCGTGGGTCGCTGTTATCGTAGATGCCAGCCCTCCTTTGCCTTGCCGCCTCATCCTCTTTCTTCCAAAGCCGCTCAATAGTATGCCAAATCGTCCCAAAAAACTTCGAGCTCGCCTTCTTGATCTTCCTCCACGTGGAGACATTGTCTTCTAGCACATTTGGGTTGGTCCAGCCGCAGAGTCGGTGGACAGGCGCGTTGTTGAGTTCGTTGTCCAGAATGGTCCGCCGATAGTCTTCCACGGCGTCTTTTATTGCGGTAATGGCGACGATGCATATTAAAGGCACGGCGTTGAGCCCAGGATTAGTACCTCCGAATATAGGGAAGACCTGGGAAGTGTGAGTGGCCCGACTTTAATCCCCGGGATAGAGCAAGATGCTTCAAGCATAGGTACTTACGACTAGGATGACAAGGAAAAGGAAGAATATGTTGGCAATGTTTTGGAATTGGAACCACAGGTTCTTTGGCAGAAACGACAACGGCGTGTACTTGGCTGTTCGGATCTTGTTGCGCGTGAACTGTTGTAATGGACTGCCGTCCTCGTCAACCATGCTTGGGGGCAAGGGCTGGTTGAAATATAGCTGTCGCGGCCCGGGACCATGGGCCTCCTCCTCCTCCTCCTCACCATCGCCTGCATCTTGTTCACCCGGTTGTTGTGACTGCAAGGCGTCCGAGCCGCTCGATTGTCTCTTCTTCTCGTTGTGGGAGAGGTTTAATGTTTGTCGACCAATCAAGGACAGTCGCTTCAGGCTGCTGCTCTTGACAGTCATTTTCCGCGTCGCCCATCTCGATCTTTTTGTTTTATCTATCCTCCTCTTGTCGGGACTGTTGCTACCACTGCTAGTTGTGCCATCGCCAGCGTCTGTTGGCGATTCTGGGGCCATTGTGTGGCAGTCGCGGGCCAGGCCCGATCACGCCTGAGTGCTCGCCAGGCTGGGCCGCGTCGGCGCCGATGTTCGTCCGCCGGGCCTATGAATCTGGTCGCCTGTCGTTTTCCAGCTTGAGATTTACCACGATGCAATCAACAGTCGGAAGGCGGATGCAATGCCTGAGGGAACGAAGGGCGGCGTGGGTGGGTGGGCGGTCGTGCTGCTTAAGGTTGCAGTCCAGTGTCGAGTCCAGCCGAGTCGAGTCGAGCGTGGGAGTGGGAAGACGAGCACGGCCGGGGAGTTGTCGAACCCGAGAGACCTGCGGAGTACCTTGGTAGATGTAGGAAGGGGGGCGGTAGGCGATAGGCGGTCGACGGACGGGTGGGAAGCTTCTTTTTGGCGTAGGCACCAAATTCGGCTGGGTAGGGTCGAAAAAAGGGACGCGGGAATAACGAGGGAGGGATGATTAGGATTGGGATTTGGAAGGCAGGGCGTGAGAGCAGAGCGCAGCGCAGCGCAGCGCGGCTTAGGTGAGATGGAATTGGTTGGTATGTAATGAGTGAATGATTGAGTGAGGGACTGGATGAATAGATGGGTAGGCAGGTAGTCTCGGTACCCTGTGTGTACTGGTCGAACAGGCCCTGCTGCTAGCTGCAGGTGTCGGATGCACCGGGGCGCGGAACGAGGACAATCCCTCCCAGCGTGATCCAGTGCCAATGGCTAGGCCCTAGTGGAGGAGACGAGAGAGGAGCCTTGGAAAAAAAGGTCGCGAATTGCGCTTCGCTTGTCGGCGTTGGCCAGCAACCACGGGGGGCGGGAATGGGCTGGCTGCACTAAAATTGTACGTGTCGGTGTGTAGGGCGAGGGTACCAAAAGGCGCAGCGGTACCTGGGTGGTAGCCAGGTAGCCAGTCTGGTAGTCAGGTAGCCTGGTAGCCTGATCGTCTAGCCTGATAGTCTAAGGTGGCACTGCCGTTTCGATCGCATTCAGGTGCGAGAGAAGGATCTAGTGACGTTGTACTGGAGCACAGTTGGCTGGCAGGAAGAACAACCAACACCTGGCTGAAGCTGACGACGGACAGCGGCGTGTTGGTTGCCAGGTTGTGCGACTGCGTGTACGTACACGTGCCGTGGGTATTATTCCCAGCAGACAGGCTGAGGTCGGCGCCGGATGGTCCCAGGTCCCAGGTCCCAGGTCCCAGATCCCTTGTCGGCTCAGCATTCGAATGCAAGACACAACCTTGTCGTCCAAGCAGGGCCTCGGATAGCCGGGAGACGACAGTCGGAGGGAAACGATGCAGTACAGTAAAGGATTCGGCGGCAGTAAAGTACCAGCAGCCCGATGAAACCGACGACGAGAGAAGGGGAGACCGCCACGGGTATCCAATTGGGAGGATCCTTGGCTGTTCCCGGAGGCTCTGGGTCTGTTGGAAGCGAGAGACAACAGGGAAGGGCAAGGGAAGAGTTGGAATAGGACGATGACGGCGAGACGAGACGAGGGGAGCAGCCCGGGAGAGCCAGCGCCGCATTGGTAAGCACCCAATCCTTCTCCTTCCGCACCCACTCCCACACACGCACACAAACTCCGGGGGGCCAAGTCATCACAAGGCACTAGAAGACCTACTTAGACCACACCTCTACGCTAAATCTACTCGATCTGAATGACAATCTGGAGGCCGATTGACTGACTAGTCTGGATAGTCCGGATATTTTGGCACGGATATCTGTCTCCGAGTCGACCGAGTGTGTGGCCACCCATCCCTTTGTCCAAAATGTTTCCTGTTTGCCTGAACGTACAGAGCCAGAGAAGGCGGCAGTACGAGCATTGGCATGGGCGAGGGTCCCTGGGACATGAGTAAGGCGAAGGTGATACCTGTTCATCAGCACTGATCCTCATTATGCATTGTGCCGTTTGCTACTCTCTAAGGCAAATGCACTTACTGTATGTTTCCCCGTTGTCATATTCACGCCGCGCCTCAGCCACAGCTTACGGGTTTTTAATTAGATTAACAAGACCGGGTTTGGCAAGCACCTCATAGCTAGGCACGCAGAAACGGCTGCCCTCGAATGCCCCTTCTGGTCCATGTACTCCGTATGCCGAGATCTTCAACACCGGCCGCCCCCTCCCTCCCCTCGTCCTCTCACTCGGCCTTCCCCGACTGCCCGAGCTATACCGGCAGCATCTCTAGCCTATCGTGGCCTAAAAATTCAAATCAAGCAAGTGACCTACAGACTGCGAGGTATTGCATGCTCGATGGAGATCCGGAGGCCGATCGCTTTCTAACCTCACCGGTGCCGAGCTCCCCTCTTCAGCCTTGAGCAGTATGTCTGCCGTCCGAGATTGGCTGGCCCAGATGGGGGTGGGGATGCTGAATAGGGGGGGCTTCCCACAAATCCAGGGACCAGAATGCGACCCAGGGGTGGCACAATCTTGGTCACCCACAAGCTTGGCAGAAGAGCCCCCACTGCCCATTCCCTTTCATCTTGTGAGGATCTTGGAAAAAAACAGGTGAAACTTTTCGCCCTGCTTGCATGCTGTTGGCAAGAGACTGGGAAATGAACATCCTATGCTACGGATCCGTGCTGATCCCCAGCTTGCTGATGTGGGAACTGGTGGATTACTGTGTGCGCGTTACCTGTCTGTGTGTGTGTGTGTGTGTCTGAGTGCAGGTGCACGAAGTACTGCGTAGTATCAGGGGAAGGCGTTCGTCAATCGCTTCGCGTCCTGCTCGGCCTCTGCATCAGCCCCGATGGGCCCGAATCTGCGGGTTTGCCAGCTTCAGTCTACTGCAACCAGAACACCAGTGGAAAAAAAACCCACCACTCATGGTCGAACCTATCAGCGCCGGTGGTTCGCAAGTGGCCAGTATGCAAGACGGCAGTCATTTTCTGATCCTCATCCTCATCCTCATCCCATGTCGCCCAAACCCAGTAAGGACACTGATTAGGGGTGGCCCGAACCTCTAGTTGGCTGTTGGTCCTCCAAGGTTCATCTCTCGACCTTGGCGTGCACTGCCCAGAGATGAACTATCAAAATAGCCAAGTAGGCACGCACACTTAACACCTTGGCCTCGGAAAGGGGCCCCCTCGAAATTCCTTCCAACGCTTGTATGTGTGCAATGCTGCACAACATGGGCTCACGTCCCACAACTGAGTACCTTTAGTAACACACGGTAATACCTGTCAAGCCACGAGGGATCGGGGAGGGTGCTGCACCGAAACAAGCTTGGGGCGCTTCGAACGCAGTAGGCTTGACGCCCATTCGATGCAGCCGCGCTGCCAATCGTCAGAAACGGCTATTTCTCTCGTTCTCACTCTTTGTCTTGTGCCCTCAGCCCTACACATTGCATCCGGTCAGCCTTTGGCAGGAGTGTCGTCAAGCATCTCGTTCAACACCTCCTTTTGGTCGGTGATGCCAAGACGAAACACTCCGGGCCTTGACAAGGGGCCCGCTGTGTCGTCACTCGCCTCGCGTTGTGCTCAGTGACGCACGGTGCTGGGAAGATCCACGGAGGCGACTTTCATGCAGACTGCCGTGTCCGCCGACTCGGTCCAGCCCTACTGTATCGCACACACTGAGATTCTTCCGCTTACGAAGCAACTCGGGAAAGCAACGACGAGGCGGAAGGAGAGGGAGAAACAACGTTTCCCAGTCGTCCAACCGGCAGGGCGTGTAGCACCAGGTGAACCTATTATGCAGTACCGTGTTCTTTCGCGCGAGCGTGTTCGGCGCAGTTTCATGAGTGCTGCAAGGGGCGGGCACGAAGCCGGGGCATCCAGACCCACTTGGGCGGTGATCTTCTCCCGCCCGGACCGAAATGGTGTCGAACCCGGGTCCGCAGGGGAACTTGTATAAGAGCCTCATCAATGTGAAATGCCTCAACTTGAGAACCTCCGTCAATCACAATCGCAACCATCAACTCGCGCTGGACGAGGTGTCAATTGTCACACGGTCGCCGGTCAGTTGCGGTCGCCTCTGACTCGAAAGACGCGACTCAGAATGATAGCAAGACCTGAAGCAGTGAACCCCGACCGCTGGCGTCTGGAGTTAAGGGGCGGATTATCACCGACAGCCCGGGTTTAACCATTCCGGGCATCTCGTCCAGGTGCTGTGGCGCGAAGGACTCTGTGCAGTGGGTTGGTGACACGCAGGGGGCGAACATCAAGAGACGCTCCTGCAGAAGCTGAGACGGCGGGCTTGGGCCGTGGTGCCGTGATAGCATGTGCACACACCGTCTGGCCGTCCTGTGCTGTTTCCCCACGTCCGAACTGTAATCCCTGAGACAAAAATTAAATCGATTCAAGCTTTGGTGGGTTCGGCCGCCTGCAGCAACATACACACAGCACATGCAGGATGGCGTGGATGGGAGGATCTTCTCGAACAAAGCCAATCGACTGGTGGCGATGTGCGTCGGGAGAACTTAGCCTCAGGAATGCTGTCTGAGACTCGCCCCTCGCGCGTCTGAGCGTGGCTGGCCTGTGGCCACTAACATTTCCAGAGCTTCCGGCAAAAGGCTTAACCTTACCGCGTACGTGTCTCTCTGAGGAAAGCCCTGTGCTGTAGCAGTTGTGATGGAACATGAGGCCATGCGCAGCGAAAGTGATGCAGACTGCATCAGAAACATGTTGCTAACAATATGGGTGATCCTGGTGCCGGTGGTCTGTTAGTGACACTGCGTTACTGAATGCGCGGGTTGTGCAACCCCCACCAACCTTCTCCCCTCAACGCGCAAGGCGCGGTCGGGACGCGCTCGAGACATTCGTTGCATCACCAAATGCACAACCCATCTTACGTACCACCAGATCCTTCTCGATCTGGCCGTACTGTTTTGATATGAGACTAACGTAGATACTTGTCCAAGTCACTCGGGCACACGTTCAGCATGGCCTCCCAGAAGAACGGCGACATCCGGAGCTTCTTCACAGGCTCACAGGCATCAAAGCCGCCAGCCTCGTCGGCGCAAAGCCCCAAGGCGCCAGCCACGGTGCCAGGAACACCATCAAGACGGGCCAAAGATGGATCTGAATCTGGATATGCCTCTCCCTCACCATTCCCCGATATTCACTCCTCCCCTCCCTCCATAAGTTCCCCGACTCCGCGAGCACCCATCAGCCGCGACGCTGTCATCGCAGCCTCTGACGACGAGTTCTCCGACTCGGACGACGACTCGCTGCCGGACATCCTCAGGCGCAACAATGGCCCGACCCTGCCCCGATTGCCAAGGCCAGAAGCAGCAGCAGCACCGGCTGCCCCGCCCGGCCTGCTTGCGACGCCGCGCGCAAAGCGGACCGCCGCGGCGCACGAGTTCCACTCCTCGCCGCTCACCATTCAGAGCAAGAAGCAGAGGCAGGACTTGAGTGCCCTGCTGGAGTTCACACGCAAGGACGAGGAGATCCGGGCCTCGGCGCAGCGCTTCTCCGCGATGCTGGAGCAGGAGGCCGAGATGCAGCGCGGTGGTACTGCTGGCGACGATCTGGAGGAAGTGGAGGAGCACGAGGGCAAGGCGTCGGCTGCGCTCAAGGAGCACATACTGGAGGCTGCCACGGCTGCCGCCAACGAGGACGGGGAGGACGAGGATAGGGCTGAGAACAAGATGCGGGTCGTGAGAGCGCTGCAGCGCGCGGAGGTTGGCGGCACGAGGAAGCTGTTCTATTTCTTTGAGCAGGCCGAGCCGGACCCGGATGTCGTGGGCAGGAAGTTCCCCAGGGCCAAGGCGAAGGGCCCATGGGCTATCCTCGATGATGCCCAGGATCGAGGGAGGCACTTTGCCAGCGGCTTCCCGTATGACATCCAGAAAAAGCTGGGGAACCTGCCGGATGAGATATTCCTCTGGGTCCTGGACGAGCTGTGCTCCGAGAGGCGAAAGACGTTACAGACTGAATATGTCAGATTGCTGAGCATCTGCAACGACCAGACGACTCGCCTCGTCACACCAGCCCTCCTACAACAATTGTTCAGACGGCTGGGCGCGACGAAAGACGTCGATAATCTCAAGAGCCCTGTTATTTTGAGGGAGGAGACCTGGCAACCTTATCCGGGTCGGGACTGGTCATGCGTCGAAGGCATGCTCGACTTGTTAGGGGCACTGGCCGGTCATTTCACACCAAACACTCGCTCCACCGCGATGCGGATCCTGCTTCGCCTGGGCATGGACAGCATAGCCGTGGAGAATTTCGGCTTCGCTCAGAGGTGGCGGCAGGCGGTGGACCTCATTGCCCGCAGCGTGCCTGACAGGGAATGGACCGCCTTCTGCCAGGAAGTCTGCCACTCGCTCTACCAGAGCTCCCCGAGGGCCACCATGCGGCTGCGGGCTGTGGTTCTCCTCGGCCCATCTACTTCTACCAAAGGCCATTCCGTATCCCTGCAGACACGCACGCTCGACCTTAAGCGGCGCCTTGCGTCGGTGTTCTTCTTTGACGACCTCCAGCGCGCGGACAAGCGGCCCGAGGACACGGTCAACATCCGCGCTGTCATCGACCGACTGGAGGCAGACGAGTTCCAGCTCAATTCGAACACGGACTACAACGAGTTCGAGGCGCTGATGATGCTGCTCAACGCCGCACTGGGCGACGCGTCGAGGCAAGACGACCGGACGGGGAGGTCCGCCGCCAGCTTCGACGCCGAGGTCGACGAGCTGGCCGAAAATCTGAAGGGCATGCTGACGCGCGTGTCGCCGCTGAACAGGGGGCTTCATGTGTCCAGGATTGAGGCAAAGAATGCGATGGAGCTGATACGCGAGCGGTTGCTGTATCAGATTAGGATCAAGGATGTCCCCAAGAAGAGCATCTTTGGAACACAAGAGGAGGCTGAGGACTCCTCTTTACCGAAGCAGAGGGATTTCATGAAAGGGTTCTTCCTTAAGAAGGAAAACAGAGAGCCGAGCATCAAGGTCGATGCCGCGGACGCGGTTATGGCTGGATGAGGTTCTTTTATGTCGACAACGCGGAAATGACAAGTATAATACATTCTTGCACGTTTATCGCCCTTGGCTTTGAAACCAGATCTCACGTCCGTGACCGTTTGCACAACCTTCTCTCCATTCACGCTATATGACGAATGACCACGGTAAACGTAAAAAAGCCCAACGCAAGTGCACGCATGCAGTAGATTTCTCCCTCCCCTTAATCGAAGAACTTGCGGTTGGGGTTCACTCCGAACAGCGTCTTACGTACAGCGGGCAGTGCACTGTCTTCGAGGAGACGCAGCCTCGCCTCGAACGTGTTATCGATCTCGATCTTGCCATTTCCATTGAGGATAGTAATACCACCGGCACTACAACACCAGCGTGTTAGCTGCAGGCTCTCCAGAAAGTAGGGCATCCTCAGGCCCGCTTGGATAAGTAGTAGGGTTGTAGCACGGCGGGAGGGCGTTTCTTACCTTCCCTCTGGCACAGGATTGCTCTCGTCAATGGTGGCCTTGACGTCGTTGCCGATCTTGTCCTTGTACTCCTTCGCAGCCTCCTGGATCGCCGTCCTGACGAGGTCATAGTCGGCCTTGCGGGCGCGGATCTTCAGCTCGGGCTCGGCCAGGGCGTACATGCCCTCGAGGACGAGGCCCTTGAGGGCGGCGGCGTACTTCTTCTTGTCCTTGGCGCCCTCGGCGAGCTTGCTGCGGGCCTGCTCGAAGATGTCGTCGAGCAGCTCCTGCCGGGCGGCGAGGACCTTGAGCCGGGTCTTGTTGGCGACGGTGGACCGCGTGATCTGCTGCGACAGGCTGGCCTGCTTGAACTTCTTGGCGTACGAGGTGTCGATGGAGTCGGTCTCCTGCCGGACCAGCTTGGACTTCTCGATGGCGAACTCCTCGTTGGCCTTGATCTCGATCTCGCGGGCCTTCTCGCTGGCTTCCTGGCGGATGAAGGCCGTCATCTTGCGGAGCTCTTGCCCGACCTGTGGGTGGTGGGGGTGGTCATTGTCAGCTACATGTGTACTATATGAAGGCTGCGTGTAAATCTGTTGCTGTAAAGCGTACCTGGTCGTCGGACAAGGCGTGGACCTGCGACATCTTGGGCGGCTGTGGTGGTGACGACTGCGGGATATGAGGTTCGATACGGTGAGAGGAGCTCGACGCTCTCGGGATTGGACGGGGCGAGAAGAGAGAAAGGCGCGGCGTCGAGAAGGAACAAGGGTCGTCAGTCGTGGAAGAGGGTGTAAGTCGTGGATGTCGTGGTGGTCGTGGTCGTGATCAGGTTGCGAGACGGTGCCTCCTAGAGGATGGATGTGGTGGATCCTGGCCTATTGTTGGACTTGGAGCTCCGTCACTCATCGGTGCTGATGCCGCCAAGCCCCAACTGCCCGCCGGCACCTTGAACCTTCAGCCCCCCAAGACTGCCCGCCGGAGCAGCTTGATCAGTTGGGCTGGGCTGGTGCGCGCGGGATTGATTCAGCAGGGGTCCACTGCCGTCCTACGAACCTCCTTAGGGACAGCCCGCCGCCCTTGGGCTGCTGTGGCTCCTCTCGCTTGGTGCTGCAAACAGCCATAGATTGGTCTGTAATGCGCTGTGTCGCACTGCCACCTCAGCGTCTAGTGGTGCAAGAGCGCCTCGCGATTGGGCCAGCAGCAGTAGTGGCCAGGCCGATGGGGCTTTGCTGCTGCAGCACCGTTCTGGATTCAGCATGATCATCGTTGGGTTGAGAGCACTGGGAGTCTGGGCCTGGAGCAGGGACGGCCCACGATCATTGATCGTCAGTGTCTTGACTGCTTGCGCACCTCGATGTTTCGCTTCCCGCATGAAGAAGCCCACCTTCCTGGGCTATAGTCTCCATGATCTATTAGCACACTCCCTATCAACTCGACCATTCTATTCCCATCCCACTCTTCAATCTCGCACCGTTTCGACCCTACGAATGACTCTGCTCGACAAAAGCAAAAGGGAAAAGGCCGCCGACTTGTGACCAGCTCAAGTGGTCCGCGTCCGACACAGCGGCGTCACTCAACACTTCGAAACAGCCCACTCGGATGTCTCAAGGCCGCGGCCGTGACGTTCATTTGACTGAGGTCATCCGCTGCGAATCGATTCGAGTTTCTGACCCGCTCCAAACCTCGAGACGAAATCGACCGCCCTTCCCCAGACCTCCTCGCCAGACACCGCAGTCCTCTTAAACGACCGTTGCAACCAGCTCCCATCCTGTATCTTTGACCGCTCCCCCCTCGACTACTGCGGTGCACCACGAACCTCGGCCAGGTGCCAGGTGCAGGCTGTCCCAAGGCACGAGGGTTACACCTCCCAAGACACCACGACGCTCGCAGCCAGACTACCCCCTTTCTTACCTGCAACCTAAATACACCACCACAGGAACTCTCTTATGTGCAACGCGACACGCAATTATCCATACACCTTATATTCTGGCTCTTTTCGCCAGATGCGTCCCTGCATAACTGAACCGGCGCAATGGGGTCTATCGGCGGCATGTCCCCTGGTGGGAGCATCGCGGTATGTTCTCCTTCCTTGGGCTGCGCTTTGAGATTGCAGGCAATCCCAACTTGAGGCGCAATACTGACATGCTGCATAGATCGGTATTATAACCGGATTGTTATCAACTGGCGTGCAGAGCTTAGGTCTGACGCTGCAACGCAAGTCGCACATCCTCGAAGACGAGAAGGGGCCCCACGATGTCCGCCGACCACCTCACCGAAGGAGGAGATGGCAGCTCGGGATGGCCATGTTCATAATATCAAATATCCTGGGAAGCACCGTCCAAATATCGACACTACCGCTGCCCGTCCTGTCTACACTCCAGGCCTCGGGTCTGGTCTTCAACTCAATATGCGCCACACTCATACTAGGCGAGCCGTTCACGAGGTGGTCACTATGGGGCACATTACTGGTCTGTGCCGGCGCTGTGCTGATCGCTATCTTTGGTGCCATACCCTCGCCTACGCACACCTTGGACGAGCTGCTGGCGCTGTTGGGGAGGTCGGCTTTTGTGGTCTGGATGGCGCTGCAGGCGGTTCTAGTCGTTGCCATCTGCGTCGTCATTGACGGTGCAAACCACTTTCTGAATCTCTCACAGAGTCCACGATTTCGTCTTGTCCGCGGCCTGTCCTACGGCTGCGTGAGTGGCATATTATCTGCTCACTCACTGTTGGTGGCAAAATCGGCCGTCGAGCTAATCATTAAGACTTTGGTCGACGGCAAGAATCAGTTTGTCCGCTGGCAGGCCTGGGTGATTGTCCTGGCCCTCATCACACTAGCATTGACTCAGCTTTACTACCTGCATCGAGGCCTCAAGCTTGTCTCGACATCAGTCCTATACCCCTTGGTATTCTGCATTTACAACATTATTGCCATCCTAGACGGGCTCATCTATTTCGACCAAACCGAACTCATCAGCGCCTTGCGCGGTTGTCTCATAGCGCTCGGCACCGTCATTCTCTTGTCGGGCGTTCTTGCGCTCTCTTGGAGGCTTAGCGACGAGCAGCACACCCCAGTGGGCGGCCAGTCCTCTCTCGCACCAGGCCTCGGCCTCGTCGAGGATACAGACGGGGAAGAGGAGGAAGAGGATCTGCTTCTCGCCAGCACCAACCCGATCGGCGCCGAAGATGACGTCCTTCCGACGACTTACACGTATAACACGTTTGACAGTCCGGAGCAGGACACCTCCCGGCGCAACAGGCCAAAACCATTACCGCTCACCACATCAGCCTCTTCGGGTTCTGGGCGGAAGAAAACGTCATTCTTGCCTTCACTGCCGAGACCACGATGGCAAGAACGACAGGAGATATGGGGCGAGTTGGACGATGATGAGATCCCGTATTCGCCTTTGCCAGTGAGCAGATTGCGCTCAAAGACTCTCCCAGCCAATGATGCCTCGCTCTTTACTTCGCATCGGAGAGGAATTAGCGACACTCCCTTCGTGTTGGGCGAGGCATCAACCAGTGCGGATTCGCCCCGTCTGTCTAGATCCGGCTTCCGCGCCCGAAGGAAGTCCACGGGCTTCCCCGGATTCACAGCTCGGAAGTCAAGTAGAAGAACATCTGGGGGACCAGTCCAAGGCGCACTTGGCGGCATCTCACGTTGGTGGAGGAACAGAAACAATTCCTCAGGGGACCTACTACCAAGGCCTTCCAGCTCGACTTTCCCGGAATATAGTGATGATCCAGGGGACCATTCCTCCCAGGCTGCCCGCCCGGGGTCCTACCGGGATAACCCTGAGCGGGACCGCAGTGAAGAGGCGCCGGGCTCGGCCGAGGTCACAGGGCGCAGGAGGGAAGACGATTCGGCGGTATAGAGAGATGTAAACGATACCTTTCGAACTTTGGCGGCACTCTATTGGGACAGTGTGTCGCCAGCTGGCGTTTTGGCTTATAGGAACACGTGCCAAGGGCACTGGAGTGGATGGGCGATATATACCATAGAAAACACGCACGGGATATGCCATCAGGCTTGAGGATGGCTCTTGTTGCGAGCGACTGGATAGGACCCTCAAAGTTATTTTTTTGTAATCATGATCATTGCCATACCTAGGACCCAGTGCTTGTGACCGGGAATTATTGTGGCTATCCGCGTGTTCATCTTACGTCTGTTGGCATCTATCACTTGCTTCAATAGCCAAGGCTCACATGCATGCACATGCAGGTACGAATTTGTTAGGCGCATACAGGCCAGAACTACAGTAGATAAACAAGAGTGGTAAATATATACTAGGTAGCTACCACTACACCACTCAACACCCTATGATATATACACTCGGTGTTGTATATGAAGGTCTCTCCATTTTACCAGACATTTAGCCCTTCGCTTTGCGCTCGGTATGCATCCCAACTAAGTGTGGGTGTACTGGTTGATAGTAATGTCATCAACAGTCCAGGTCTTCCCACCGTCAGCAGTGACTAGGTTGCCCGAAGCGCCATTCAGCGCCAGGGTGCTCTTGTAGTTGGGGTTGGCCGCGCTCATCGTGAGCTTGGTGTTGATGTAGTGGTGCGTAGGCACAGTCCCGCAGTTTGCCTGCTGGCACTCCATGGCGGTGCCCCAGCCCAGACCACCGCGACCGCTGCCTATGAAATCGTGAGCATGTGTGAAGATGAAAAGTCTTGGTAGCTATATCGGCAATACATACTGGTAGACGAAGTTGAGACTACGTTACCGTTCACCGAGACCGTCTGGTTGGTCTTGCCGGTCGAGGGCTTGTATTTGTCTATACATCAAGTCAGATCTAAAGCGCAATTCTGAAGACTTGACGGCTGCAATATACAGTCATAGGTGACTTTGTCACCTGGGTTGGCCTTGTAGACTGCACCATCTTCTTGATTATCTACAGGTAGGTCAGCACGGGAGGCACATCAGGGATAGTCAAGGAACCGTACTTTCTAAGGTGCTTGCAGTGACACACCACTTGACCTCGCTCGCGACCAGGTTGCAGGGAGACCTGTGTTAAAACCACGTTGAGCTCGAAACCTAATTGCTTCACTGATCGGATGAAACTGACCCAACACCAACAGTCGAAATAGCAAGACCCTGGACGAGGTCGCCATCGTCCATGCCCATGCCGGGCCAGAGACCCAGGTTCCCATTGTGAGGGCTGTTAAGGGCTGGCAAGACAAGTGTGGTGGTAGCCTCAGTAATGAATGTACCGGACGCAGTTGGGCCGGTGGAAAAGTAGTTTTCGAAGTAAAATTATTGACGCGGAACGACCGACGCGGCCGCTACCGGCAGCAGGGGAAGCAAGAGAGCATGCATGGTTTACGAGAAGTGTATTATAGAGAGAGTACGAGCTCTGAGACAAGTATTCAAGGAAGTGATAGTGTCAAAATGTTTAATCATTAACTCAAGGGCCAAGACCGGGTGACAGACACAACGCTATTCAAGAAAGCAGGATGCTCGGCGCCTATCTCATACAGCCAATATACCGTTAGGAGGTTCTCGTACTTACATCAAAGACTATTCGTATTTTGCGGAGCTCCTACATCATTGAATCTGCGTTGGACATCTCTTCCACCTATGGAAACTTATTCGTTGACGTTATGTGTCAGGGGCAAGATATTCCTGCTGTCGCGTTTTGACGATCGCATAGTTTAGTTCCTGGCGGCTTGCAAGGAGGGCATCTCTTCCACCTATGGGCAGAACTATAGTCGCGGTGTTATACTGGCACCAATTGGGCAAGGTCTCTGTCGCATTATCCAAAAATACCCCCGGCCGATATCACCTCGGCCGACTCAGCTCCGAACAATTACGTTCGTTTGAGAGGCGCGACTAGAATACAGTTTCCCAATCCATAGGAAGTGCAACGACACAGGGAAGAGCCTAGACTTAAAAGAGTTCACGAGGTACTATTATTGGCTGTTGCTTAGAGCTCTATACGTGTATATACCGGGGAGGAATTAGCAGCGCTAGATTCGGCAACGTTACATAAGGGGGACGACTCGGTCACTTGCCGCCGAGTGTGAGGTCAACTCCTCAGCCTGTCTTTGACCGTCTCGTATCAGCAAGACTGGAAGTAGGAGAGCGCCAGCAGTCGCATGTGCTGAGGATATGTGTGGATTGGGTTTGTCATAGTTTGCCCGGGTGACGACGGTGCGAAATGGGCGGAGCGAAAGCCAGCAGCAGCGACGAACAGGTGCAGGCAACGATAACACTGCGATTGGCAAAGTCCTATACGCAAAATAATGCATTTGGACGTGCCACAAACCAATCACAGCAAAAGAGCCTAGAATGGATGGGCTCGTGAAGTAAGCGGTTCCACATCTAATGCTGAGGTCTCTCCATGGCATGCCCGGTACAATGTCGGCAGCCAAAGGGCCTGGGAGTCCATTCCTCCCAGAAGGGTCGAAAATAGGAAGAGTCATTCTATAAGATATCCGTATCTAACGCTGTCACAAGGTGCGCTCCGCACACGCACACGCTTACACTCGTGTAGCAGGCGTGGCGAGCAGCACGACTAAAACGGATATACATGGAAAAGAGATGCTGGAAGGAAATATGTGACGCCCATGGAAGAATTGTTTTTGGAACCAGCCCTGAAAGACCACACGTAGACTCGTACATCGTGTTCCGTCATCTCTCCGAGACCACGTCGTGCCGTGCCCCCTGGATGGGATCTCATAACCCCCGGACGTCGTGTGTGGACAGGCAGACGTCGTCTCGAGCATTACAACATCAACCCACCCAGCCCCTATCACTCCATCCTCAAAATTACACACTATCGGGACTTTGCGTTCGCATTACTCGACAGAGACCTCGGTGCTCTGCCCACGTAGGGGGGAAGATGCACAGGTCCAGGCCTCCTCGTTCGAAGTTCCATCCCACTCGTCAACAGACTCCAGACCCCAGGCTTAGAATGTCGACGGCTGGGTCTTGGAGTCGATGTATCGGAATCGCTCGCGCTCCTTGCGGTCCTTGAGCAGACAGGCCGTGGCCAGGATGAATAAGCCGTCGATACCGGCCATGCCAAACACGGCGGTGAAGATGTTGTCGACGAAGACGTTGGCGAAACTGCTCAATGGGGCGGCACAGCCCCTCATCAGGGAGGCGGCCGCTGGGGACGGACATGTCGCATCGGTGACGAAGGCGGGGGACGTGCTGTTGAAGAAGCCACAGCATGCGAACTATGGCAATGTCAGTAACCTGGTTTACTCACTGATGATCTGTTTCAGGGGGAAAACTTCGAGGGAAATTCGTACAGTTGTTTGCATCAAGTCCTGGACACGGGGTTGCTGTTGAGCCCACAACGGGGCGAGCGATTCTTTCGTCCGCAACGTGAGGATCCAAAGGTAAAGACCCAGAATAACGGAGAAGACAGCGTTGACAACGAGCATATATCCCGAAAGCTTGAGCCAGCCGCGGGTGGGCATGGCAATAGCAGGCAGCGTTAACGCAAATGTGACGAACACCATTACGCCATTGACGATGCCAGCTGTGAGACGTTAGCTATGACGCCCTTTCTGTTGAATCGAGTCCCTGATCTGTCTGCGGTGACCATGTGTGCACACAGAGTCACATCACATCCTCAGGCCCTCCTCTCTAAGCACAGATGCGTACCTGTTAGTGGGAACTGCTGATACAGCAGGTTCCTGACTGCCTGTGAGCCTTCGGTCGGCACCTCGAACATGATATTCTGTACAATGACAGAGAAGCCGACGAGGATGGCACCGGTGGCCACGAAGAGGGCGTCGGCAGCCACATAGGCGCCGAGGACTTTGTTGACCATCTTTGTCGTCGATGTCGTTGCGTTGAGCAGCCCGGGCCAACGAGATATTCGGCCGCCCTTCAACCACTGCTAAACCAATCCGTGCTGTCGGTGTTCCTGAATCCCTCTAGAAAGTGGTTTCCTCTGCTCCAAATGACGGCCTGCGTCTAGTCGAGTTCGTTATCGTGAAGTGATCGTCGCCGCGAAATGAATGGTCGGCGGTAATAGTCGTCCTGCGCTTCCTCCCACCGGTGGCGAGCTACGAAAAGAAGGTATGTGGAAAGGGAATGTGCCAATTACTAAAGGGTATACAACTGGGAGAGAAAGAGGGAAAGGATGCACAGACGACGCGGCGTCAGGCGAAGATGAATCGAACCAACGGGAGACCGGCACCTTGGAACAGCGTCGGGAAGCGCTTTGAATCGAACGAAGCCAAAACAGACTTTCGAAGAGACGAAAAGAAAAAGGGGGGTAGAGACACTCGACACTACCAGAAAGACGAGCAGAAACGCGGCGGAAACGCTACCTGACCAGGGGACTCTGCGCGCAGCACCATGCCACGCACGCTACCAGTCAATTCGTGGGTTGAGAATGGGCTTGCAACCGGCCCACAGTCTCGAGACGGGCGCTGCTGCGGCATGTTCGAGGTTTGTGCTGCGGTCGGTGACCGTGAGACTAGGGCATGGTGGTGATCCGCATCGTGAAGCAGTTGTGGTTTCAGGGTTGCCGTGAGGCGCCTGGAGTGGTTTGGGATGAAGCGTGCAGGGGCCACATGCTGCCACCACACGGCCGCAGCCGCGCAGGCGGCGCTGGGAGATGCTTGGAAGCGAGCCCAATCAGGGACGGGTGATCTCCAGAAATCATTCGATGAATTCTAAACTTGGGACTGTCCAGGTTTGGACAGAGACCAGAGACACAAGAGACACAAGAGACAAAGGCTGCACAGCCTGCAGAGATCTTTACCCAAGACCTGGGGAGCCCCCTCGATTACGTATGTCCCTGTGTGTGTTTTGGAATCGAGTGGTGTCGCTTTGGTGGGTTGTCTTGGGTGCTCTTGGGTGCTCTGGGCCTCTGGCTGCCTGCCAGGCCTGCCAGGCCTGCGTGGTGCGCCTATGCGCCCCCCCTCCCCCCATCACATGCAGACATGACGGGGCCCAGGCCTTGGTGTGTGGAGTAACCGTGCCGCAGGTGCAGCGAGAGCGAACAGCACCCCCAGAACCCCCCGAACCCCCCGAACACCCCCAGGAAGGGCTGGAGGGCTAGAGCGGACCATGGCCGAATTGCTTGCAGCTGTCAACCATTCCACTTCTGGGTCGTGACCCATTGGGCATGACTCTCTCTCAGCCTTGCCCTTCAGAAACAGGTCAAGATCGCCCCTGTTTGCGTCCCAGAACGGGCCTGTTCTCGATTCATCGTAGATTACCCGCATTTCAACCCTCTTTGCTTGCCCTCTTCGGTCATGGTGAACCGAGCTTGCACAGGAACAGGAATGGCAGCGCCCAACCCAGTCCTACCTCTATCAAACAAGCTCACACGCACCCGTCGCCGCACCCGTATGTCTTTAACTGCTTCCGGTCAAGACAGGCGTCGACGACCCCCACGGCTTTAAAGGGCAGTCTATTCTAGACCAACCGCCTCTCACGTCTCAACAACAGCGCATGTCCGAACGACTCAGGTCGTTTGCTCGTCGCGCGAGTTGAGATGGCCTCGAAACCGGAGTGCTGTATTGGCCACCGAGGAGAAAGATGGGCTGAGGATGAGGACGGCTTCCGCGTAAAGTAGCCCCTTTGAGGAAGCTTGGGATGATTCATGAAGTCACAGCCATGCCTCAAGGCGACCAAGGGACGAGACGAAACGAGGCCGACAAGAGGGGCCAATATAGCCTCGCTCTCTTGCCTGTAGGAGGTAGCGTGCAAGATACACCCACTCACATAATGTCGTACACTTCGTATGCGTTCTCAGCGGTGGGAAGGACGGAAGACAGGGCGTCAGCTTCTCCGTGCTGGCGCCTTGCTGGCGTCGAAACATCTGAAGACACGATTGACACACCAGTCGGTGCTCTATGCTGGCAAAGCCTAAGCCGCATGGCAAAGTTTGCCCGACTGGAGGTGCAACTCGGGCTTGGCAGCATCTGGCCGATGTCTCTTTGGATGCTGACACCCGTCGGTTTCCCAAGGTTACTTTGCAGAACAGAGAGAAAATTGGGGGAGGGTGATCGCAGAGAGAGGTCTAGCGTACCCTTTACCGTGATCGTGTGTACACAGTAGCAGCACAGGTAGCACGGAGGCCGATCAGATCTCCTCTTGCAGGGCCTGAGTTCGAGATCAACTGCATCATCACCCCACGAGCCGTCTCCACGTAACTCGTCGATGCATTCTCCGCCGTTGTGTTATTGCCAAGGCCAAAATCAGCCAACTTCCATCACACGCCATGGCCAGCGACCCGAACTCCCGAGGGGACAGATTCGTGGCGCTGGAAATGAAATGGCCATCTCCGCCTGCAAGAGGGGATCGTTCAATTAGTGCAGCGCGCTAGTGAGAGGTGGCAGGGACCGGGCCAAGAGCGTCTCGCCAATCAGTAGCCGCGATTTGGCCCTTGGCAGTCTTCTTAAGGAAGCTGCACTCTTTTCCGTTTTCAGCGCTCGACCTTTCCCGTTCCGACTGTTTAGCCTGCCCATGCCACTGCCATCCGTGCTGAAGTCACTCCATACCGTCGAAGGCACCTTCCATCTGTCCTGACGAGAGAGTACGAGAGTACGAATGTACCTGCTTCGAAGTGAGTGATTGAATGGACTGACCCATGGACGATTGAGTGAGTTGGCGATTGAATGAATGCTCGTCCTTCTTAACCGTCTGTCAGAGAAATTTTCCCACCTTTCCGTTTTCAGAGGCTTGTAGTCTTTCCGCACACCACAACATAACAAAGCAAAAGCATTTCCAGCAAAGCAAGCAAGCAAGCAAGCATCATTGTCAACCCGCAAACCAACCAAAAAATAACCCAATCCTGCCCATCCTACCATCTTGGACCGACTTGGGTTAGGTACCGTATTGTTTTGCGGACCCAGCCGAGAGGGAAAAACAAGCCCGTGCCTGAACGCCTGCCACAGCCCAGAAAGGACACCATCACCGAAAAGGAAAGAGGACAAACAAAACCACCGACCGGCGCCTTTCCCCAGTGCGACAGTAGTAGCAGAGCACGAGCGATCAGCCAGCCCAGCCCGTCCCCGTCGCCGTCTAAGGAAGCTTGAGAAAACAGTCCTAGGGACACACCACGACCGAACCGAAGCGAGCGCGGCTGCAGCGGTCGAGACCTCTAGCGACTCAGTCCAAGGAAATTTGATACGGATCGGCCGTCATTTGGCTTGAGATAACAAGGTCAGTCACAGTGCTTTTCCCGGCCCCAAACCACAGCAGCCTTGTCTGCCGCTCGGAGACGCGCCAGACTTGACGATGTGCAAGCCGACTGCTTTGCCAGCTTGCAAGCGCACTCGACGCCACCCACTCGTCTGCGAGCGTGCGTCCTGCCATCGTCATCTCGTTCATACATACGTACATTCCTCGCCCCAGCGGTCGCCCATGATTCCCCCAAGATGAACAAACAAACACTGCATAGCATGCAGGCTCGTCCTTCTCAAATCACAATCAAATCACCGATTTGGAAGTAATTTTCCGGCTCAGCGATCCTCCCCGTCTGTGCCGCCTCTGCCCTCTGGGCCTCGGCTCCAAAGCTGGAGCTGGCGCTGGAGCTGGAGCAGCCAGCGCTCTCCCCCAATCGGTGACGGTGCCCTCCCCCATCCCCATGCCCATCCCCATGCCAATCCCCATCTTTTCTTTCGTCCGCGGACCGCAGCCCACATGCAAGCCGACGTCTGGACCCGGGTGAGTCGTGACCAGGTTCCCAGAGGCGTGCCTGGGCCACAGGCCATCCATCCACCCACCCACCCAGCCTGCCCGCCTGCCAGCAATTCATTTGGCCGTGGAGTCCCATCCTTGATACGGACTCGCGATCCTACGATCCACCTGCAGACCGAACACCTGGAACAGGCACCCAATACATCCCGTCAGAAGTTAGGGTACTTGCGTGCATACCTGCGCACGAACACACACACACAGGCCTGTCCGCACCCCAGTGAACCAGTCAGCCTAGAACATGGGGCAGAGGACCCAACGTCATGATTCTCTGTTCTGGAATGCCAGGCCAACCGTCCACGGCCGTCGGATCAGCGACAAGAGCAGGCCTTTACGGGTTCACGCCGAGGGTGTGTGTGGGTGAGACCACCTCGCCCTGTCGCACGGCTCAGGATCCCAACCCCAATCACGCGCCATCAACAAAGGCTCAATCAAAGGCCCCCCGCTTTTGCACAACCCCTGGCAAGTCGCACCGGATCGCCCACCCACACTCAAAGAGGTTGGGTTCCCTGGTTTCCAATCTCTCCAGCGAGTCGGACAGACTGCGTCGGCTCCGTCTGCAATCTCCAATCTGCACGCTGCAGGCTCGCACGCAGCCTGATCCTGGCCCGCCTGCGCCTGTTGCACGCCCTGTCGCTGTCAGCGCCTGCCACAGCCTGTCACGCCCGTCGAGAGAAGACGCCTGTCCTCGTTCGACCTGTTCACAACGTCTTGACAGCGCGTGGGGCAGCTCTGGTTACCACGACCGCTGTGCACGCACGCGGTGCTGAATCCGACGGTCTGGTCAACCTTCAGATCAAAGCTCGCTCGACACAGATCACCTCGTGTGGTGGCCAATCCCGTGTCAAATCCGCCTGCGGCAGAGACAGGCCTCCCCCAGCCCCGTGGTTCCGCCCTGGAAAAGCTCCGCTCTGGCTCTGCCACGAGGGAAGGGAACCAGCACTTGCACTCAGAATCGTCCTACAGTGGCTATTCTACGCCCATCGAGATTCCTTCGAATGTCGGGTGATCAGTCACCAACGGTTTTCAATAGTTTCGGCCCCTACTTCACCACCTGCATCAGTCTGATGAGTGAGATGCGTGAGAGATGCACCCGCACACCCAGTTTGCTGGAAACTGTCATCCAAGTGGTCCCGGCCCATGTCGCCTTGTGGAGCCCCTTCTCGCCCCCCTCCCTCGCCGTGCGGAACAAGTGCATTGTGGGAGCCAGGCAGGCATCTTGGAGTCTGGAGAGCCAGCACTATCTTGTCCCTGGTACGGACCGTACTTTTTGCTGCTTGTGCCATGCACCGGCGAGTGCCCTGGTGCAGCCGAAATGGTGCTCTGCAATGCTTGTTACCGCCATTCGCACAGGTCCCACCGAACACCTCATGGACAAGTGCAGAGGCCCAGTCGCCATCACTCGGTGCAAGGGGAAGCTGGAAAAGCAAAAGGCGGCCCACCGTTCTCCATCACCAGGAGCAGTCTCCACCGCGCTTGTCGACCGGCGCTGGTCCCCGTCAGCATGGCATGGGCAGCCGCTTGCATGTTGCAGGGGAATGCGCTCGCACTGGGCGCTTCCCGGTCATCTCCCATCCCCATCATCCCCACACTCACCAGAAATGCGCCTTCTCATTTGCTACCTTGTGCTCCACCACGGTATCTCTCCATACTCCGTGGGTCGATGTCGTTAGCAAAATCCGTTTTGTCTGCTCCGACCACAGCTTCATCTCGGTGCACTGTCCGGCCGCTATGGGGAATAGAGGCTGGTATGTGAGAACCCTATTTGCTGATGATCAGTAGAAACAAACATACCCCTTCGTGCATCGTACCAAAACGTTGCCTGCGCAATCCTCGGGAGCTAAGGCTACTGCGCAACGTTCCGCCGGGTCACGCATAGTGGAAGCAGCGAGTGACATTAACAGCCCCTCCGAGCTTCGTTGGTTGTGCCGAAGAACGTGCACGGAGAGCTTGTATCAGGGCATCGGAGCACCCTGGATCCAGAGGTAAGGAAACATTCGTCCCATCTCCCTAGAAACCTGCCAGAAACATTCCAGTGCATTGCTACTGTTGCACCCACTTCTCTGCGCAAGACCCTCGATCGAAAGTCGACCGAAACGCCCCCCCAAAGCCCGACATTAGCGCAGTTCGGCTCGCGACAGTGTCAACTGTGCGCCCGCCCCAAGAGGTTGCCACCCCTCCCCCCCTTCACGTGCCCCCTTGCCCCGGCTCCTCATATCACAGCGCACTGTATCGCCTCGTTGAACGGGTGGTATCGCCTTAGCTGCAGGTGGTGCGCTGCTAGCTGCTAGCTGCTGGCCCAAGTAGTTTTCCCTACATCGTGCCGCCTCTCGCACCGTCACTCAAATCAGGCTAAGCATACACCCCAAAGCGACGCCACCCCCCCGCCCTTCCTTTAACTCTGTGGCCGTGGCCGCTGTTCGTGTACTACAACCTTACTATCCTCTTTTCAATCATTCCGCAGAGCTCCAAGCCTGATCAGTCGACTTTACAGGAACTGACATATCTGTCGGTTTCTCTACAGGGAATTGCGAAGCCCAATACGTTCGAGTCCTTCAGATTCAGGCGAACTCCTTGGTTCCCCCTGAATCATTTTGAGGTCGCGTTCAGAAGTTGACTTGTACTTCTTGTCCCGCACCGCATCCACCACGCTTACTTTCTCCTGGGGATCCGTGGCCACTCCCAGCGCGTGCCATTACTCGCCCGGACTGCGTACCCGCCTAATACCTGGGCCTCCCCAATTGTCAGACAAAGCAAATAAAAATTGATTCCTCGCTTCCCTTCCCGGGCACACCAGACTCGATCCAGCGCAGCGCCCAACCAGGTTTCTGCGACAATCAATCACCTACAACAGAGCCTCCTCCGCTCAACGCCAGATCAAGTATAGGCAATCGGCACCACACTCAAAACAGCATCTCCACCATCTTGCCTTTTTAAGCTTTTTGGTGATACAGTTCAAGACAATGGCCGACATCACAGATCAACACGACCAGACCTCACCCACCGAGCTCGAAGATCATGCCGGAAATGGCGCTTCTGAGACCCGCGGTGTCAAACGCCAACGCCAGGCCGCCGCTGACGACGACGACGACGATGACGAGAAGGGTGGTCGCGAGCGACGCAAGATCGAGATCAAGTTCATTGCCGACAAGTCGCGCCGGCACATCACCTTTTCGAAGCGTAAGGCGGGCATTATGAAGAAGGTGAGCACAACACGTCGAGCATGCGATTGGCAAAAGCTCCCTGCATCGATGCATACAAGCTCGCTTTAATGTTTATGGCGGGGGTCCCGTACTAACCTCCATTCGCGAAACAGGCTTACGAGTTGTCCGTTCTCACCGGTACACAAGTGTTACTGCTTGTGGTGTCAGAGACAGGCCTGGTTTACACCTTCACAACGCCAAAGCTTCAGCCGCTCGTCACTAAAGCCGAGGGCAAGAATCTGATCCAGGTAAGTGCTGCACATTGTTGCACGACGGCCCTTGAACCGGCACAGTACTAATCCAAGCCCGCGCAGGCATGTCTGAACGCGCCGGAGCCCAGCCAAGGCAACGAAAATGGAGTTGACGACTCCAACCAAGTCGACTCACCCGAAGAGCCACCCAGCCACATGCAACAGCAACAAGGCCGTTCAATGCCTCAGAACCCTCACATGCCCCCGGGATACATGCCCAACGTTGGACCCATGGATCCATCGTCGGCGCTAGCATATCAGAACTATGTGCAGCGAGGAGGGCAGTACGCAATCCCGCCTCAGGCCGGAATGCCGCAGCACGCCCAGCACCAGTCATAGCCGCCGGCGCATCGTCTCGACCAGTACGAACCGTCATTGCCTTGCGCGTAGATACCCGAATACACTGCATGCGTGAGAGGTCCATAACCAGGGACAGTGGGCTCACAATTTGCAACCGCTTAGTTCTTTAGGCGTTCTCCGGTTTTATCGCCTGTCAACAACACCGCTTTCATCTTCCACTTTTCCAGATCATCGGCGGTGTCTCCTTTTCTCCTCGGCCTTCTCTGTCGAGTCAGCCACGGTTTAATCTCTGGCGCATCTTGTGTGCGTGCACGCATCACATTAGCCACCTCCTTTTTCTTCTTTTTTTGTCTTTCTCGCTCACGAGCGTACGAGCGATGTCATGACCGACTATACACGCGTGCACGCCTGTCTCCTGGTATCCAGGTCTGGCGGATGAGGCTTGAAGTGTTGGTGAAAGAACAGCTGGTGCTGCGCGAGCATCTCTTGCGCTGTTGGCAACCGCAAGAACGAGGCGTGACAGCAGAAACGTGCGCCGTTCCACCTTGTCGCCCACCTCTTGTCCAGCGGAGCACCTTCTGGTCACAGTCAACGAAGCGGCGGGTATGAGTCAAAGACGAGTTCTCAACGTAGCTATGAGCTTGAACGATGGATGCGGTGGGAATGATGCACGCCACTGGTGATAATGAGACGGAAAGGAAATATTTGCCAACACTGGGACGAATTGAAGCAATGTTCTCGCCCGTCGCCGTCTTATCTCGTCCGTTTGATGAGACGGGTGGTCTTGCTAGACGTGGCCGGTTGTTCTTCTAAATTGGCGTTGATCAAGGCATCCGAGATTTTTCATGATTTTCAGCAGCTGAGAGATGAAGGGGGGAGAAGTCGTGGAGGAGAAAAAGAAAGAAAAAGTCAAACAAACCTGTATGATAGTAGTGGTTGCCCTTCATAGACACCCAACACAAGCCCCTTGCCATAGCATTAATTCAATCGTTTACTCAACCTTGATGCATACACGTGGCGGGCGAGAACATATACTTATATGTACTGCATCCGTGGCAGGCTCAAGCTTTTCGAGGCTGGCCGAAGCCGTCTGCAGCATGAGACGCTTAGCCCCGGGCCAAGTGACCGTTTCCGGGGAATTGGGGCTTTCCCCGGCATACGGCTGCTTTCTCCTCTCGGTAAAAGAAACGAAAGAAAAGCCAAATTGAATTTCATGCCTTATTTGGGGCAAAATGGGGTTGTGGGAGGTTTCTTGTCAAAAGAGAGAATGGTGGGAAAGGGAGGGGTGGTTGATTCCCAACATGGTAACTTACACGGACGAACTGCCACTTTACCCAGATTGGGACGCGAACCCCATCGAGAGAACCCGTCCATCCGTCAGCCCTATGATCCCCATACCCATGTTATGAAACTTGCAATATGGGGCAACGTCACGTTTTGGGAGTGAGAGTCGGCCGAGGGGGCAGATTCATGATTATTACATTGGGGCAAAACGCGCGAGGGAATTGCTACTCTGACATGTGCTCACATCTAAAAAGCCGTTTGCTGCTCTCTCCCTGTCTCTCCCTCCGTAGCCGAGGAAACACCAGCGCTGGCAGGTGAAGGCCAGAAGGAAAGCCCCACGCCGTGCTCCTAAGGGAAAAGGGGGGCCACAAGGAGGACCGATGCTGATGCCCTCGTCCGTTTCGCAGCATGATGCAGTGACTGCCGCGGCCTGGGCTCTTTCTCTGGCCCTGTGCGTGGAAGCACGACATGCCTCGAAAGGAACCCCTCGACGGCTTTGATTGATCCACTACCCGGTTGGTGTGAGGGAGGACCTCCCCCCTTAGGCTGTTTTCCCTTTTTCTCGCATGCCGGTTGGCTCGCCAGGATCTGAATTGGGTTTTTGATTCGATCGTACGACGCATGTTCCCGGATCGTTCGATCTCTTGTCCTCGCGCCGCCCGTCCGCCCGCCCTTCCGATCTGGTTCTTTCCAGGCATGAGATGGATGTTCATATGGGGCCCGTTTGTTGGTGCGGGTTTCAGCTGGTGTCTGTCATATGCGTACGCGGGCCGGGTGAGATATGGTTTAGTACTAGGTAGATCTCGTCTTACTGCCTGGCCTTCCGAGTACCAACGACAGGGGAGTTGGTTTCGTGAAGGTCTGTATTCATGGTCATCTTGCTCTTGCTTTGGACAACCGGGATTGCTCTTCATCACTGGAAGTACGGATACCTTGATCTGCTTCTGACAGGATGGGCTGTCCAGCAGGACAGGAACATGTCAGCTGCGTGATGAAGTGTTCGAGCTGGTTGACTATAAGCAGAAGAGAAACCACAGGGCTTTCATATAAATCCCGTTCCAAAGCCCAGTCTTCGCGATGAAATGCATCACAGCGGGCGTTCAAATTCATCCCGTGCTCCAATCTGGGAATAGCAGCAGAGATAGAATGTATCAGGGTGAACAAAACATGAGTTTTGCCTCAGATATTAGACACCTGAGCGGTGGAGGTTATCAAGGTACCAGCGGTGCATAAGCTCAAGGGCCAAATGAGTAGAATGACGCAAAACAATTCAATGCTCAGAATGACAAAAAAATACTGTCAAGTATTTTGGACGATACTTGTGGCCTTGGTGCTTTTGTCTGAATATACCTCTGGAAGCGCCTTTGGGAGTAAATACCAGCACGATTACCATCATCCTGTGTCCAGGGCAGTCAGAAATACCGTCCATATGTTCGAGCCTGCGAATCCCGCCGGGCTAGAACAAAGCTTAGACTCGACTTTACTTCATATGACAATAAACGAGTGTGGCGTTCTTCACCCTTTGCCTATTCGGCTGAAATGTCTGACCAGGAAAGGCTGGTGTCAGTTGGGTTTTCTTTTCTTTTCCTTTTTTCCTTGGTCGGAACTGCCTAATACGGCTCTCATGTCCACTTATTTGGAAGCACCGTCTTATAGCCCGTAACTTCTTTCGCGGCCCTCTTTCCCCTAAAGGGTCCTAAAGGGTGGTGGTGCTAAAGCCCATCCTGTTGTTGGCGTCGAGCGTTTTCTGCTTTTGGAGGCCCGGACAGTGGCTGTGTTGTTGATTTAAGGTTGGCACCCCAGGGTGTCTTTCCAAAGCTGGCCGTTGGGAGCTGCCCACCTAGGCCTCGCCTCGCGCCCCTTGATGCCCAGCCCGTCGGGCTCACGATACTTCCCCGGCCGGCTGAGTGTGTTCAACGCTTAGCTTTGCGCTGGCGAAATTTCGACGGCGAGCCCGTCGTCCCGCCATCTAGTTGAGGAGCCCCGAGACCATGATTCTCAACGGGTCTGACAAGGGTCATGAGCATGACCAGACCCACATGGTAAATCGACGCCAAAGGGCACAACCGATCTGGCACTGGCGAGATCAGTCGCCCCCCCCCTCCCCCCACGCTCTTTCCCCGCGGCTCGCCATAGTCCACTTGGGCAGAACGCACGACCAGACAGCTGCTGCTCCTCGCACTGCCACGTGTTCCAACTTGTAGCTAGACGCCTGGCGCGCAAAGGGCAGGAAGCCACTCGGCCTTCCCCTATCGCAAAGCCACGTTGACTATGCGACAGGCACGCCAAAGCTCGGTCGGGGCCACCACGATGTGAGGCTAGCCCAGCTTATCGACTCGCTATAGCCCGACTTTCTTTCTCAAGCGGCTGCGCGGCGGGTACCCATCAAGCATATTGAAGGTATCTGAAATGATCAAGGGGTGGCCAGACCACTTGGCTGGCCGAGGTGACTGCGGGTATCGAGGGCCCTGGCGAGGGAGCGCCAAGATGCACTCTTTGGATAAAAGCACCGGCACAAAGGTAATCCCCTCAACAATGTAGGATCGCTGAGTATATCAACGCCTGGCTGGATTGCACTGGCAATTAGCCTCGTATTGGAGATTTGGAGGCTGTCAGCAGACACTTGGTAATGCATTTCACGCTATAACGTGCTCGTGTGGACGGGTAAGGTGTAGAAGTCTGGGGGGGGAAGTGGAGCCTGCGGTAGGCTCTTTCGAACTCTACACAATGTAGATGAACACAAAAAGGTCAGCAGTGTCTTTTCAAGACATTTGCGTCCTGAACTGCAGACATAGAGTTTTGGAAATATTGTAGACTCGGTGAAGCGGTGAGAGTGTAGTTGGTGTTGCATGAGGTGAAGCTGGCCGCGGCAGTTCGATACCCGAATTGGCTGACCTAAGCCGTTTCACCCCCAGCGACAGGAGCCCAGACCCTCACTGCAGCTGCAGCTGCAGCGACCGGGGTCCGAAGCTTGGTTCGTGGGTCTGGTTCATGGGAAGAGGTGCGGGAGTGGGCCCCCCCTCACGACAAAGCTGGTTGAGCACGTTTCTGCCCTTAGCGGCCGCGCGAGTCGCTGGTACATGGCAGCCAGCGAGTGGACTATCGCGACTAACACCAGACGGGCACATACGCCCACACAAGGACACACACAAGGACAACACTGATCACAGGGCAAAGCAGTAAGTAACACGGATGATACGGGCCGACACAGTCACAACAGTCATCCTTTCATCCATCTAAGATGTCATGAAGTCATATTGTTCTCAACATTAGCCGGCAATCTAGACAACATGGAAGCCACCCTCAATTGAACCCAAATAGATGTTCGAGATGTTCCCAGCTGTCTAGTATCAGCGCGCCCCTCTGCCCGCGCCTGTGTCGAGACCGTGGTCTTCGAGCCGTACCGTCGTCAAAGACTCATTATGTTGGTGTGATTTTTGTCGTTGTTGTCGTCGTCGTTCCTGTACATCGTAGTAATGTAATACGTGTGTATATGTACCACCCCCTGTCCAGCAGTGGATTCGCTCAGTGCTCCGACATGACGGCATACCGCCCGGCCGCGAGACTTCCGATGAATGTGCCACCGAGGACAGAGAGGAAGTAACCGAGGTTCATCGTCATGACAGCCAACATACTAAGATGGGGGGTTAGCGGGGTGGTCCCAAGACAGATGGTGTGATGTGGCAGGGCAGAAGGGGAGTAGACTCACAGCAAGTATCCCACACCAGCAATCACAGTATCGATCACGGCCCTGAGCGGGTCGACCGAGAACCTCCAGGGCCGGGCGTGGGTGTGCTTCTTCTTGACGACCATGACCTCCTCCTCGAGCCCGTTGGCGGACAGCATCATGTTGCTCTTCAGGTTGTCGCGGGCCACGTCATCTGTCATGCTGCGCCGGCCATTGACGACGACGTAGCGGCGGTTGAGCTCCTGGTCGAGCCAGCGGCTCTCCTGGATGGCCTTGAGGGCGAATAGGCTGCGGAAGATGGCGGCCAGCAGGATGATGAAGATGCAGGTGGCGGCATAGGTGCCGGCGTTGGTGGGCGTCCACATCTCCGAGTATAATGTGGTGGCGATGTCGTTGTGGAAAGCGACCATCATGGTGGCCATCATGGTGGATGTGCTGTTCATGTCCATGTCCATGCCGTCCATGCTGGCCATAGTCGTAGCGGCCTCAACCTCGTCACCGTGTCTTCCGAAGATAGTCATGTTGTGGCTGGTGTGTTTGTGTTAATTCGCTTGAACAGGTAGATACAAATAGTGCTGCTGTAGTGTTGTCGCCGTGGACTGAGAGGGTATATTATCGAATTAATGGATGACTTCCAGAGTACCGAGAGAGAAGCGAATTATGGTTCGAAGTGAGGTATGGGGAAGCCAGTGAGTATATGTATCTCGAGCGAGAACCTTGTGTTGTTTCAACAACAGAAACACCACGATCAAAACCTGCGCAGGAGTGGTTGAGCAGGTTTGGGAATTATCTGTCACTGTGGGCTAGGTGGGTGGAACCGAGTCTTTGGTGAGGATGAGGATCGTGGTGATGGACAAGGAACAAGCACCAAGCCGAAACGAGGGCTGTCGAGCCTTTTTGCTCTTTCTGCTCATCCTCGCTGGGTGAGGCTCGATCGGTACTGGCGGTACTGGCCTGAGGGAAACTTGCTCACTGAGGAAAGCGAAGAGCACCTGGCTGGGCATACTACCCATGTACGAGACGTACCGTAGTACCGTCGCATCGTAGAGCGGAACGGACCTCCTCAGTAGTCTCTGTTAGCAGTTCTTGCTGCGATCCAGCCCCGATCCTTAGCTGAAGATACCGACAACACGAGGCCAACTTGCTCAGGCTAGGCCGGGATCTGGACCCCGTCTCACGTCTCCGTCTACCGATGGCGTTCCACCCGGCCCTCACAGGCTGCCTGGGCCAGATCTCGGCCTGGTAACAGGTACATCGCCAGGCCACTCGGCACTACCACCCGTACTTGGCAGTCCATCGCAGCCCATGACCGCCCACTGCAGTCCCTAGAGCTGCGGTTTCGTCTGAGCTCGCGCCGATCCTCACCTCTGTCGCATGGTCGAATCCAAACATCGGTCGTCATTCCACCCTCTGCAACCCACAGCATTAACTCTAACCACCCAGCATTCGGCAATGTTGCGATGCTTCATGCGAGCATGCGTCCCAAGCTTCCTGATCTACAATCTGCCCGCCTGCCTGCCATGCCATGCCCTGCCCAGCCGAACTTTCCACACGTTCTGGCGCAGATCCCACACAGCCAAGAAGGCTCCCCCAGGCCTTGTCGTCCCAAACTCGCTGGTTCCCCACAACCCCGACGAGCCTATATCTCACAGTTCCAAGCCTTGACTCGAGCTTGGCCGCGTCGAACCACTCCGGCGCGGTGCGATGCCATCTTGGGACCTTTCTTGGGAGCCATGCGGCGGCATCATCACCGCCAGGGCTCAGGTCTCGTGTCCAGCTCATGGCCCATGTTCATGTGAGCAGAGAGGCTCGGACCGTCACAAGTGGTGGCGCATAATCTGCTGAACTCGACCAGACCGCTCCTGATGGTCTCGGCGCCACTGGCTGAACCATCCTCAATCGTCCCATCGCGACAAACCTTGGGGCAAAATCTAAACATAGCAGAAGACCCGGCTATATCAAATCGCTTCCCTGTTTACCAACAAAAAGCTCAGAGCTTCTCTCGGCGAGCCGGTCTTGGCGTGTCATGATGTTCTCAGGTCGTTGACTGGTCCGAGGGTTGGTGGCCGCTGGGGATTCTGCCTTACTCCCACGACTATCAACGTCACTCCCACAACCCCAACAGAAAGTCTCTGTTTCCTGCAATGGGCTCAGTTGCGATAGGGGCATATTTGAAGAGCCTCGCCGGAGCTCCGGACCATTGCGTGCAATTTCTGGATGCTGCCATTGGTCAATGGCAGGTCAATCCAACAAGTGTTGGTTATGACGTCGCCATGGACGTGACGCATATCTGAAAAAGTCACCGGCACGCTTCCGGGCGAATCCTACAGATGGAAAGACTAGAAGGAAGACAAAGCTGCACGTTCTCTTTTTCGGTTTCTGCCGGGCAGAGCATCGGATCTGTCTCATCACTGCGAGGACAAGAGGAGGCATCAACAAGTGAGCTAGCTACAGTGTGGCAATGCTTTACATAACCCATTTATATTCTTCAGATTTCAGATGAAAAACTGTCTTTAAACATATCCGCAAGTCCTCGGTCGCTGCGAGAGTCATTCGTCCGAATTTGGGAGACTGTGGAAGGGAAGCCAATGATACGAGGGACGCTCCAGAGGAGCAGACTGGTTCTGGTTTTCGTGGAATATCAAAGTTGATTTCTTTCCGAGTCGGGCTCTACACTTCGTGAGAACTCTCATATGGGGTCAGCTTGAAACTTGCTCTCATGGGGTAAGTCTCTCGAAGCTGCCGCATTCGAGCAAGTTTCAAACATCTCGTGGTGCTTGCTTCCTGCTTCAGGGTGGAATCACTTGCCATGGCAGGACAGTGCACGCGAATAGCCTCAATGGCGACTGACTTCACCGTAATTGCTTTCTAGCCTGTTGAGTTGGCAATAAGACTGTGTGAGAAAGAAACCTCGGCTTCAAGAGAATCATCGAGGTGCGTTGTCACAGCTCACACTAGGCCGAGAAGGCTGCTGAGGCACGAGGACCTAGAGACGATGCCCGATGTCTGTTTCCCCAGTCTCATACGCTATTGCGAGTGTTTCCCGTATTCGAACCTATTCCGCGAGGTGCTGTGAGATGCCGGATGCAGTAAATGCGGTTCTACGCTTGTGCCTGCTTCACAGCAACCACCGCGGATACGAACACGATTATTTGGCTTTGCTAGCATGCTCTCCACCTGAAATGCGGTTTTATACTCGATATTCCCTTTCTGTCTTGGTGGAAGCGACGCACACTGCAGGAACCTGCAGCACAATTGAACGCTGTCACATTCTGGCAACTTCTACTGCTTTACATGTGCCTCGTCAGACTCGTGGAGCGGCTCAATCATGTGACGGCTTGAGGCCGTATCTCCATGACACACAACGTGCTACCTCATCGATGAAGCTGGGGAGTTGAGAAGCTGAGTATGTGGCCAAGGGTATGAGATGTTGAGACTCACGCATGGCATTGAATCCCAGGAATATTTGGTGACAAATGCGGTCTTCATGGGCAGCAACACCGCTGTACACGCTCTTTCAGGCACCTGCGTATAGGCTGATCGCGGCAACATGGACCCATCTGTGTGAACGAAGACACATTATGTGCCTTGTGTAATGACTCCACGGCCTGCTAAGTCTGCTTCACAAGGGCTCTCAAACTACCATCCTGGAGGTGACATGTCACTGGTCTCAGCCTGCAGCCTGGCTGGCTTGCTTACCGTATGATAGCTTCGAGGGTCATTTCAGCCTTCAAAGAGCATGGGGTAACAGATACAGAATCCATCGGGTTCTGGTCTTTGTTTTGGCTGGCCAAAACACCGACCTTCCTTGGGATGAGGACTTCTACCTCTCAAGTCGCTAAGTCTGCCGAGATAGGAACCCCGATGAGGTGTTCATCACGGGTTAGGTTATCTGGATACTTCTACTACCATGTGCCAGGCATCACGAGCTTCTTGCGTCTCATTCATGAGACGGGTTTTCAATGCAGTCGTGCTAGCTTGCCAGTTCCCAGTGTACAGCATAACAGTCACCAATCCTGCTAGCACCGCTGGGGACATGCTGCCCAGACGGCCAGTCTGAAAGATCTAGACGGTTTCTGCTCCGGCGGGCGTCAATTGTACAACAATACTTTGCCGTCTCGTTGTCCTGTAAGTGCTGAGTTCTGACTTCGGAATATGGAGAGTCAGTTGTGTAAATACGACACATCTGTTTGTGACAATGTCTATGTCCTTCCTTTGTCGAGACAAAATGGGTCAAGCTTCCCGGATTCGGGACTGAGAAGACGGGTTTGACCTCTACATCGATCTAGATAATTATCATAGCCGTTCGCTTTTTAACCTTTTTCATTAATTTTATTTTTATCTTTTAGAATCAAAAAATTGGCCTTGCCTCAGGTAAAACTCTGGTCTCGGCGATCCTGATTCCCAATGCCGGGTCATCGAATTTTAGTCATGACCAGCCCCTTTCTGCTTCAAAATTGCGCTCAGAGCTTCAAAGTCTCATTGAGACCATGCTGATTCTACTCACATTATTGTCGCGAAATTTATATGAGTTCTACAAAACCTGAGCATCGCTCTCTGTAAGTGTGCTCAGCCCGCATAGTTGGCAATGGTCTTTGTCGTCCTCCCCTGCAACGGGAGGAGACACAGGAATGTCACGTCTAGCATGAAGGACTTGCCGAAAAAGACAAGTTAAGAAAAACACCAGAGGTATCAGGTGACGGCAAGAAACAGGCTCATGACCTAAGGAAGCGGTTCATATCGAAGTCCCACAACACGGCAAGATTGCGAGATGTCTTCGGAACTGCAAGAAAACCTGTATTTCAGGGACTATCAACCTATCGGAGGCAGCGGGCACAAAAAAAAAGAAAGGATCCATTTGCAGTGTCTCACCGTTCCGTCCTATCCTGTTCTACCACTGTCGATTCAGCGTCAACTCCGACCAGATACATTTTGAACAGAGCCATCTTGATGAGCACGGCCGACGGGGTTTCAGCGGTGCCGCCTCTGCACAAGAAGCGAGGCACTGAGTGAGATCCAGCACCGATGACAAACCAGAGGTTGCAGGTATTCTAAATTCCGAGGGCATCCTTGGACCACACCTGGTCATATCACAGCTTAGAAAGAGATGATTTGCCGTCGCCGAAGCCAACATCATCCAGGCGGCAAGCCACCAGCCCCTACCTATCAACAACACCCTGAGAAATCGCGACGAAATTAAAGGCCCTCCTTCATCTTCACCAACCAGCGACCCATATCGACTCGATGAGCAACCCGCTCATCACGCCAAAGCAAACCCCAAAGCCGCCGTGCCTTCTTCCCCGAGGGTCACACGCACAGCGAATTGGCCCCCCCAAAGTGTCGCCCAGGCAGTCCCATCCACTCAAGACACCCAGAGCCACCGCTGAGCAAGGAATGCGTAATCACGGCCGCCATCTCGGTCAGCCTATCGGCCGCAACCAAGAGAGGTCCCATGGCCAACAGAGGTGAGCGTCAGCAAGAATCGCACCCCGGCCAACCGGGGAGGTGGGCCGTACCAGAT